CTGTCAGTCGGATGGGGCGTGTCTGTTAGTCTGATATATGTTATTGTTTTGTTAAATTTGTGTCATTGTATTGCGACATGTATGTCACTTTGACTTGAATTTCACTGGGTTATCATTTTCGCTTGCTCGTTGTATTCGTTTAGCCAGTATTCTTTCTTTATGTGTCGGTTGAAAACAGCCAAAGACACAACTTTTCCTATAAAGTCTATAAGGTAAACACGATATACGTTTATAGTTTCTACTGTATCCATTGTAACAATGCTACAGTGTCTTATTTACGTTTACCTACCACGTTTAACATGGCTTAAGTGCATGTGTTTATTTTTTGCTATAATGTCGATTTTACGTTTTGTCCAGTATATATTGTAAACTGAGTGGGTACCAGTTTTTTTACGGGGCTATGATGTCCACCAGGGGACGGTGTGACCTAGCGGTAGAGCGCCAGACTGCTAACCCAAAAGTATAGTGTTCGAATCCGGTTTCAAGTCATGAGAACGTCCCTGAGTCCATCCAGCTCGGATGGGTACCTAACTCAAGTTAGGGAAAATACAGGCGGCTGGGCAAAGTGCTGACCACACTATCTCTTCATATGCCGAGGTCACTTAAAGCAGATGAACTCTACTGCATCTGCTCCATGAGTCTTGTGCACAAACGTGAAAAGATGATGATGATGTCTAACTTGCCTATTTTGCACGTGGCTACATTGTTTATTTTACATGTGGTGAGCTACTGTGTCACACAAAATGATCTCCACCCTACCATCCCTAGCTAGCGTGTAGCCCGTGGAAAGACATTAACTTCAGTCCCCGGTCGTCCACTACCCGTGGGATTATGTTCCCGTCATCACGGTCTCAGCACGTTGTATCACGTTTAACAGAAGCGTTTGTAACGTCAGCAAAATGTTAGCATCACGTCGGTTGTGACAAGGGTCTGGGCGTTGAGAAGTGGGGACCACTGATTCCGTCATCAGGGTCTCAACAACGGTTGTGATAGATGATGATAGGACAGGGGTCTGGGTGTTAACAAGTGGGGGACCACTGACCCTGTCATCAGGGTCTCAACACGTTGTATCCCGTTAAAAGAATAGTTTGTAACGTCAGCAAAATGTTAGCAACACGTCGGTTGTGATAGGTGATGATGGGACAGGGGTCTGGGTGTTAACAAGTGGGGGACCACTGACCCTGTCATCACGGTCTCAACACGTTGTATCACGTTTAAAGAATTACGTCAGCAAAATGTTACACGTTAAAAGAATAGTTTGTAACGTCAGCAAAATGTTAGCATAAAGTCGGTTGTGATAGGTGATGATAGGACAGGGGTCTGGGCGTTAACAAGTGGGGGACCACTGACCCTGTCACCACATCCGTTACTGGGTCGTTCATCAAACACATAAACCAGCCGCTGTGATATTGGGGTTTTAAGGGGTGGGGATGTCAGGGGTGGGTTGAGTGGGGATGAAAATGGGGGAGGTGTGGGGACATCATGGGTGGGTGTGGGTGTATATGTCAGGGGTGGGTGGGGGTGGATATGTCAGGGGTGGGTTGTTTGTTGGGGATGTTAAAGGGGGAGCTTTGGATGTCAGGGATGGGTTGTGTGGTCATTGCAATGGTGGGTTATGTGGGGATGGCAGGGGTGGTCTGGTGGGGATGTCGGGGTGGTTTTTCAGGGGTGGGTGATGCATGTATGTATGATTATATGTATGTAAAGTATATCTGTATCAACTGCTGATTCGTCACTGTTTACTACTGATAATATTTTATACACACGGCGAACCACAGTGCATATTATACATAGAGTAACTTTTCTTGTTAGTGTACAAAACAAAAACAACAAGCACCGTCTTTTAATTAGTATTTGTTAGAGTATAAAAGAAACACAACATATCATCATTCCTTTGTGGCCCCTGGGGAGCAAAGGGCTGCAACTATCTTTTAATCAGTATTTGCAAAATCCATACCAAAATGTACCCCTAAAAATTGAATCCATACAGAAGAAGCGACGTTTCCCTGCTATAAACCTATCTTACCTTTTCTTCTCAACCGCCACAAACGTCCGTTAATATGATCCCTACTCCACAGCCCTCGTAACATTTCCCCCGTGATTTTCCCGATGTGTTTGTGGGAGGGGAAAGGGGAATATCCGATTAACTCGCGGCCGTCCAGTGTGGTGGAGTTGACAGCAGTTTTATTTTGATCAAGTGAATCCTATTTGAAGCTGGTTAATCCGCTCAACTCCGCTGTGCTACATGCCTGGAGATTGATTTTTATTTTAAGAGAGAGGGGGAGAAAGATATAGGGAGACACAAAAGTGTCTCGGATTGCGACATCCTCATTTTATTTTTGTTTTCTGTCGCCCTCCTGTTTTTTTTATCTGTCATTCATGGAGAGATAAATAGAATACACCATGTTGCGGAAGTTTGTGAGAGGTCAGCCAACCAAATGTAATCTTACAAGTGTTGTTTTTTTTTTTTTTAGGTGACGCAAGTTATCTCATCTCCGATTGGCTGAACAATTTATTTTTAAAAAATTCGAGTAATAGAAATACATTTTTAATATCAATCTATTGCTAAAATATATCTTATTAATTAGCTTATTTAATTATAAATTAATCTAATTTATAAAATAAATAAGTGTAGCTCATATCTTGATAAAAAAAAGTTGTAGCATTTAAAAATTTTAAATATTTAATTATGTCAACTACTCCTAATCATAGTTACTTTCAGGCATATCTTGGAGGGGGGGGGGGGAGGGGGGCAGAAAATATAAACTCAAATAAATGTCGTAACTGCACCTTGTTCTGGATTTCCCCCCCCCCCCCCCTAAAAACACCATCTGAAAGAAACCCTGCTGATAATTTAATTGGTGTGTGTGTGTATAAAATATGAAGATAATACTATAGAAGTTTTTTTTTCTATAACAATATACAGGCCAACACTGTCTTTGTTCAGCTCACGATTGCTTTTGTTTTAACCTTGTATGGAGTTGTTACTCACGTAATGTTTGTATGAGACCGGCGGGTAGAGAGGGGGGGGGGGGGGGTGAACTGTGGCTGATGTCATGTCAGTAACAAATGACATGCTCACATCTAAAAAAAAATGCCATTCTTTACACAGATAAATCACTAGCCTCGTTTAACCCAATGTCAAAGATGACATGTCATTGAGGTAACCCGATGTCATAGATGACATGTCATAGAGATACCCGATGTCATAGATGACATGTCATTGAGATACCCGATGTCGTAGATGACATGTTACACCGTGTAACCCGAAGGTCTTGAAACACCGCGAGGCCAATTAACTAATGAGATACCAACAGAACTGATCGCTCTTGAGCTAGGTCAACATCTCTGGCGCGTGCCGCTTAATGGTTTAGTCGGGAGAACGCCAGGCTGGTGTCTGAAAGTGATACCGCTTTGTTGGCCAGAATTTTATAGCTGCGATTTTTTATACTGCAGTATTATAGAGCTGTAGTGTTATATAGCTGTAGTAATATACAACAGCTGTAGTGTTATATAGCTGTAGTGTTGTATATTTTATCCTGCAGTAATATAGAGCTGTAGTGTTATATAACTATAGTGTTGTATAGCTACGTTTTTTTATACTGCAGTAATAATGAGCTGTAGTGTTATATAGCTGTAGTGCTGTGTAGCTGCAGTAATATATAGCTGTAGTTTTGTATAGCTGCGGTGTATTGCATATCTACAATTATATATAGCTGCAGTGTTGTATATCTGCGGTAATATATAGCTGTAATGTTGTGTATCTGCCGTAACATATAGCTGCGGTGTTGAATCGCCCCAGTAATATAAAGCACTAGTGTTATATAACAGCAGTATTGTATAGCAGCTATAGTAATTTCAAACTGCTGTATTGTGTTGCTGCTGTGAAGTATAACATCGATAACGTATAGTTGTAAATTACGTTTGATAGCCAGAATAGTTGTAGCTGCAGTGATGTAAGATGTGTAACCATAGCAACAAGGGGTTGTAGCAGTCCCTGAAATAGTCATTGTCTACTAGCTGGTCATTGTGCAACATACTATCATTGTCCATAAAATGGTCTTAGTCCATCAAATGGTCATTGTCCAACAAACGGTCATTGATGTGCATCTATGTGCCTCCATTCATCTAACCCGTGCTACCAAACTGCACCAGTACACCTTGACCCCTACAACACCTTGACCCCTACAACACCTTGACCCCTAGAACACCTTGACCCCTACAGCACTTGACCCTAACAACGATGACAGGTTTATCTACCAGGCTTACAACTGGTTGAGATGCACTACAAAAATTTCAACTCGTATCCGCTCTTGTGTAATCCTACAGCGGATTTTTGTCATGATTTATTTGGCTGGCTTTACGGAGTTGCGTCATTTTTGTTACATCACTCAACCTATTTATACTTTGTGACATCACTCAACCTATTTATACTTTGTGACATCACTCAACCTATTTGTACTTTGTTTTGTTACGTCACTCAACCTATTTGTATTTTGTTACATCATTCAACCTACTTGTACTTTGTTACATCACTCAACCTATTTGTACTTTGTTTTGTTACATCACTCAACTTACTTGTAGTTACATCACTCAACCAACTTGTACTGTGTTTTGTTACATCATTCAACCTATTTGTACTTTGTTTTGTTACATCACTCAACCTACTTGTACTTTGCTATATCACTCAACCTAATTGTACTTTGTTACATCACTCAACCTATTTGTACTTTGTTTTGTTACATCACTCAACCTACTTGTAGTTACATCACTCAACCAACTTGTACTGTGTTTTGTTACATCATTCAACCTATTTGTACTTTGTTTTGTTACATCACTCAACCTACTTGTACTTTGCTATATCACTCAACCTACTTGTACTTTGTTACATCACTCAACCTACTTGTACTTTGTTACATCACTCAAGCTACTTGTATTTTGTTTCATAACCCTACATCATTTGACCTACTTGTAATGAGCTAACATTTTCCCACCCCCAGGAAGAAGTTCAAATCCCGCTCAGGCGAGACAGTCCGGCTACGAGATCTGCTGACCGAGGGCATCAAGCGAGTGGAGAACAGGCTAAGGGAGACTAACAGGGACAAGGTCAGTTTAGTCAAGTGGTAATGTTTAAGTCAAGTGGTGATGTTTAAGTCAAGTGGTGAATGTTTAAGTCAAGTGGTGATGTTTAGTTCAGTCAAGTGGTGATGTTTAGTTCAGTCAAGTGGTGTTTAGTTCAGTCAAGTGGTAATGTTCAGTTCAGTCAAATGGTGATGTTTAGTTCAGTCGAGTGGTGGTGATGTTTAGTTCAGTCAAGTGGTGATGTTTAGTTCAATCAAGTGGTGATGTTTAGTTCAGTCAAGTGGTGATGTTTAAGTCAAGTGGCGATGTTTAGTTCAGTCAAGTGGTGATGTTTAGTTCAGTCAAGTGGCGATGTTTAGTTCAGTCAAGTGGCGATGTTTAGTTCAGTCAAGTGGTGATGTTTAAGTCAAGTGGTGATGTTTAGTTCAGTCAAGTGGTGATGTTTAGTTCAGTCAAGTGGTGATGTTTAAGTCAAGTGGTGATGTTTAAGTCAAGTGGTGATGTTTAATTCAGTCAAGTGGTGTTTAGTTCAGTCAAGTGGTAATGTTTAGTTCAGTCAAGTGGCAATATTTAGTTCAGTCAAGTTGCAATGTTTAGTTCAGTCAAGTGGTGATGTTTAGTTCAGTCAAGTGGTGATGTTTAGTTCAGTCAAGTGGTGATGTTTAGTACAGTCAAGTAGTGATGTTTAGTTCAGTCAAGTGGTGATGTTTAGTACAGTCAAGTGGTGATGTTTAGTTCAGTCAACTTGTGATGTTTAGTTCAGTCAAGTGGTGATGTTTAGTTCAGTCAAGTGGTGATGTTTAGTACAGTCAAGTGGTGATGTTTAGTTCAGTCAAGTGGTGATGTTTAGTTCAGTCAAGTGGTGGTGTTTAGTTCAGTCAAGTGGTGGTGTTTAGTTCAGTCAAGTGGTGATGTTTAGTACAGCCAAGTGGTGATGTTTAGTTCAGTCAAGTGGTGATGTTTAGTTCAGTCAAGTGGTGGTGTTTAGTTCAGTCAAGTGGTGGTGTTTAAGTCAAGTGGTGATGTTTAGTTCATTCAAGTGGTGATGTTTAAGTCAAGTGGTGGTGTTTAGTTTAGTCAAGTGGTGATGTTTAATTCAGTCTTGTGGCGATGTTAAGTCAAGTGGTGATGTTTAGTTCAGTCAAGTGGTGTTTAGTTCAGTCAAGAGGTGTTTAGTTCAGTCAAGTGGTGTTTAGTTTAGTCAAGTGGTGATGTTTAGTTCAGTCAAGTGGTGATGTTTAGTTCAGTCAAGTGGCAATGTTTATGTCGGTTAAGTGGTGATGTTTAGGTAGCATTATTTAAGATTTTTACATTTTTTTCCGCATGGCTGCATCTAGGGACGTTCATATGGGGGGTGGGGGGGGGGGAATTCTGAACTAAACTCTGAACTTATTGACACCATTTAGGTGACCATTGTTGGGGTTTAGTAAAAACTGACTAACTTTTCATACATACGCAAAGTGTGTAAATCCAGACATTTAACCGACTGCTTTACTTATCCGCTGATAGTTGCCGTACATACGTATCGTTAATGTACCCAACATTTGCATCTGTTTGTGTAACGCCGCTCTTTTTTTAGCCAAACGTAATTTGCCTCTCGGATTTAAACCGGCCGATCACAGCCAATCAAATACGCGAACACAGATCGCCGCGTATGCAAAACGAGGCTGTTTTCGACACGATCAAAACGCGCCCAAGATGACTCCCCACATTAGCAATCAGAGTGGTGTCGGGGTTTGGGGCGTCGGGCTGTTGTAGTACATGGGTACTTTATTGGGCAGAGTTCCCGTGGGGGTCACACTGGGTCTAGATCTAACGGGGATGGGAGGGCGGGTCTTCTAGTATCTTAGGCTATTAATCCGATTGAGTACAAATATTTGCATGAATAATTCGTGAGTTACGTAATGGTAACTAGAGGTTTTTTTAGTCAGTTCTTCGTCCTGTCTGTATTTAATGTGGTCATTTCGTCCTGTCTGTATTTACTGTGGTCATTTCGTCTTACTGAGTCTACTTAAGTTAGTCAGTTCGTCCTACTGTCGTCATTTACTATGGTAATTTCGTCATGTCTACTTACTGTGGTTATTTCGTTCTGTGTATATTGACTATGGTCAGTTGGTCTTACTGTATGTATTTGCTGTGGTCATTTCGTCCTCTCTGTATTTGTTGTGGTCATTTCGTCCTGTCTGTATTTGTTGTGGTTATTTCATCCTGTGTATATTGACAGTGGTTAGTTTGTCTTACTGTATGTGTTTGCTGTGGTCATTTCGTCCTGTTTGTATTTGCTGTGGTCATTTCGTCCAGTCTGTATTTACTATTTACTGTGGTCATTTCGTTCTGTGTATATTGACTGTGGTCAGTTGGTCTTACTGTATATATTTGCTGTGGTCATTTTAGTCATGTCTGCATTTACTGTGATCAGTTCGTCCTACTGTCTGTATTTAATGTAGTCATTTCATCCTACTGTTTCTTTCTACTATGGTCATTTCGCTCTTCCTGTATTTACTGTGGCCATTTCATCATGCATGTATTTAACGGGGTCATTGCGTCCTACCGTCTGTATTTACTTTGGTCATTTCGTCATGTCTGTATGTGGTAATTTCGTTCTGTCTGTATTTAACGGGGTCATTGCGTCCTACCGTCTGTATTGACTGTGGTCAGTTCGTTCTACTGTCTGTATTTACTTTAGTCATTTCATCCTACTGTTTCTTTCTACTATGGTCATTTCGTCATTTTTGTATTTAATATGGTCATTTCGTCCTTTCTCTATTTTCTGTGGCCATTTCATCCCGCCTGTATTTACGGGGTCATTTCGTCCTACCGTCTGTGTTTACTGTGGTCATTTCATCCCGCCTGTATTTAACGGGGTCATTTCGTCCTACCGTCTGTGTTTACTGTACCCAAAAGACACGCTTGACCAATCAAGTCCAGACCAATGTCCTTCAAGTCAACAAGACTGGACCTAGCCACGCCAGCCGACTTTGTTGTTGGCGGGAGGCGGGGTGATGGACGGTATAGTTCGCCGCGTCCCCCCGTCATCAATGTAATCTGTTTACTTTCACGATCATGTCCCCCCCCCCCCTATCCCCACCCCTTCGTCTCGTTTACTTATACTTTTGATGGGAGCTACAGTCAAGTATTTACTTGTATCAGTTCACCCCCCCCCCCCCCCCAGAAAAACAGGGGAAATAATCAAAATGTATGAATCATCCACTTGACTAGTATAGCCTTCAACCCCCAGGAAACCCAAGTCGCTGACAGAAAAATAACTTACTCGTTTAATCGAATTCATTGAAGTTGTTGGGCTAGGGTAACTTAGGTGGAAAAGTGCGTTTGTGTAGGAGCTGTCTTAAATCTTGTCTTGGAGCTGTCTTAGGTTTTGTCTTGGAGCTGTCTTAGGTCTTGTTGGTATTGGAGCTGTCTTAGGTCTTGTTGGTAATGGAGCTGTCTTAGGTCTTGTTGGTATTAGAGCTGTCTTAGGTCTTGTCTTGGAGCTGTCTTAGGTCTTGTTGGTATTGGAGCTGTCTTAGGTCTTGTTGGTAGTGGAGCTGTCTTAGGTCTTGTCTTGGAGCTGTCTTAGGTCTTGTTGGTATTGGAGCTGTCTTAGGTCTTGTTGGTATTAAAGCTGTCTTAGGTCTTGTTGGTATTGGAGCTGTCTTAGGTCTTGTTGGTATTGGAGCTGTCTTAGGTCTTGTCTTGGAGCTGTCTTAGGTCTTGTCTTGGAGCTGTCTTAGGTCTTGTCTTGGAGCTGTCTTAGGTCTTGTTGGTATTGGAGCTGTCTTAGGTCTTGTCTTGGAGCTGTCTTAGGTCTTGTCTTGGAGCTGTCTTAGGTCTTTTTGGTAATGGAGCCGTCTTAGGTCTTGTCGTTAGTATAGATATTCAGAGTTTCTTCTAGGCATCTCTTCGCCTATCCCCCATCCCCCACCCGGAGAAAAAAAGTCTGAAAGAAACACTGTAGACATTGCTGTTGGTATCTTGAGTTTTCTTAGGTATTGCAGTTAATATTGGAGCTCTACTGGATCTTGTTGATTTTGGTGCTGTCTTCGGTCTTGTCGTTACTAATGAAGCTGTCTTGGAAGACATACACCACATAGAAGATGGTGAACCAGCCTACCATGTGGTGTGTCTCAAACCCACCATATGTATCTCAATCTTACCATGTGGTGTGTCACCTATTTGACCATGTAGTGTGTCACCTATTTGACCATGTTGTATAACCTATCTGACCATTTTGGTATCAGCTAAATGACCATGGGTGTATCACCTATCTACCGTGTAGTGTGTCACCTATTTCACCATGTGGTGTGTCACCTATCTGACCATGTGGTATCACCTATCTAACCATGTGGTATCACCTATCTGACCATGTTGTATCACCTATCTGACCATGTGGTATCGCCTATCTGACCATGTTGTATCTATCTAACTACATGTGGTATCACCTATTTGACCATGTTGCATCACCTATCTGACCATGTGGTATAACCTATTTGACCATGTTGTATCACCTATCTGAACATGTTGTATCACCTATTTGACCATGTGTTATCACCTATCTGACCATTTGGTATCATTTATCTGACCAACATATCTGACCATGTGGTGTGTCACCTATTTGACCACATGGTGTGTCACCTATTTGACCACATGGTGTGTCACCTATTTGACCACATGGTGTGTCACCTATTTGACCACATGGTGTGTCACCTATTTGACCACATGGTGTGTCACCTATTTGACCACATGGTGTGTCACCTATTTGACCACATGGTGTGTCACCTATTTGACCACATGGTGTGTCACCTATTTGACCACATGTCTTGTCCACTTGCAGGAGCTGAGCCCTGAAGAGTTAGAGAAGGTCAAGGAATCTGTGGCCTATGGCTGCATCAAGTACGCTGACCTCTCCCATAACAGGACTAGTGACTACATCTTCTCTTTTGATAAGGTCGGTCTTTTTCATATCTTAACACAATATTTTTTTATTTGTTTTTTTTTATTTGCTTTGTTTATTTTGTTTTTGTTTATTTGCTTAATTCAGCAAAAATAAGGTCCTATAATTTTTTTAAACCTTAATAATTAAAACTGACAAATTATGTGGATTTTATACTCAGAACAAATACTATATTTGAGAGACTATTTTAACTAGTTGAACTAGTGGCCTAGCGGTGGAGCCCTAGGCTGCTAAACTGATAGTTTCGAATTCAAATCTGGGTTCAAGTTAGTTGAGCGTCCCTGAGTCCACCCAGCTCTGATGGGTACCTAGCTCACGTTAGGGAAAGTAAAGGCGGCTGGGCATAGTGCTGACCACATTATCCCTTTATATGTCGAGGTCAAGAAACAAGTGAACTCTACTTCACTTGCCCAATGGATCGTTAGGTCTAAAGAGCTAATGTGATAGTGCACCAGACTGATAACTCAGAACTTACAGGTTCTAATCCCAGTAAAACTGGGGTCTGTTGCTAACATGCAGGTAGTGCATGTACAAAAGCTGATGACCTATTGTTGTTACCTTGTAAGAGACCTCTGTCAGCCTGTAAAAGCTAAGTACTGATGACCTGTTATTGTTACCCTGTAAGAGACCTGTGTAAAAGCTTAGTACTAATGACCTGTTGTTGTTACCCTGTCAGAGACCTGTGTCATGACCTGTTGTTGTTACCCTGTAAGAGACCTGTCCTGTAAAAGCTAAGTACTGATGACCTGTTGTTGTTACCCTGTCAGAGACCTGTGTCAGCCTGTAAAAAATGAGCTTCTATTTTTTGTATTCAAAGTGCATTAGTTTAACATGTGTTTTAGACATTTATTTCATGGAAGATCTTGACCAGACGTTTCCTTATTTCAGATGTTGGATGACCGTGGCAACACAGCCGCCTACCTTCTCTACGCCAACACTAGAATCAGGTTTGTATTTATATTCCTTTTTTTTGTAGTTTTCTTCCTATTTTCTTAATGCCAACATTAGAATCAGGTTTGTATTTTTATTCCTATCTTTTCTAGTTTTCTTCCTATTTTCTCTACGGCAAGACTAGAATCAAGTTATATTTCTTCCTATTTGTAGCTTTCTTCCTACCTTCCCTATTCACAAACTAGAAATAGATTCAAGCCTGAATCTTCCTTCTCACCATATTTTCATACATGTAAACATGCCAAGGCTATGTAAAATAAATAAAAAATTAATTTCTACCTGCAATGTTTTAAATTAGCCTTTGACATTAACGTGCAGACATTTTAAGAAATGTTTCATGACAACTCCCGGCACATTTATTATAGTTTTTGGACAGCTGAAATCCTCTGTTCCACAGCCTGTACCATTTCACACAAAAATGGAAACTTTGTAGTGTTTTTACCAGGACAGCAAAAACTTGTTCGTTTTTTTTAAAACTGCATTTCAAGGATTTTTAAATAAATCATGTGTTGAGGAAACAGCTTTTAAATTCTACTTCCTCTACCAGTATACAGTCAACAATGTACTAATATGGTCAAATACTTTCTACTCCCTCTAGCAATATACAATCAACATTGTACTAATATGGTAAAATACTTTCTACTTTCTACTTCCTCTACCAATATACACCCAACATTGTACTATTATGGCCAAATACTTTCTACTTCCTCTACCAATACAAATACTTTCTACTTCCTCTACCAATATACAACCAACATAGAACTAATATGGCCAAATACTTTCTACTTCCTCTACCAATACAAATACTTTCTACTTCCTCTACCAATATACAACCAACATAGAACTAATATGGTCAAATACTTTCTACTTCCTCTACCAATATACAACCAACATTGTACTAATATGGTCAAATACTTTCTACTTCCTCTACCAATACAAATACTTTCTACTTCCTCTACCAATATACAACCAACATTGTACTAATATGGTCAAATACTTTCTACTTCCTCTACCAATACAAATACTTTCTACTTCCTCTACCAATATACAACCAACATTGTACTAATATGGTCAAATACTTTCTACTTCCTCTACCAATACAAATACTTTCTACTTCCTCTACCAATATACAACCAACATTGTACTAATATGGTCAAATACTTTCTACTTCCTCTACCAATACAAATACTTTCTACTTCCTCTACCAATATACAACCAACATTGTACTAATATGGTCAAATACTTTCTACTTCCTCTACCAATACAAATACTTTCTACTTCCTCTACCAATATACAACCAACATTGTACTAATATGGTCAAATACTTTCTACTTCCTCTACCAATACAAATACTTTCTACTTCCTCTACCAATATACAACCAACATTGTACTAATATGGTCAAATACTTTCTACTTCCTCTACCAATACAAATACTTTCTACTTCCTCTACCAATATACAACCAACATTGTACTAATATGGTCAAATACTTTCTACTTCCTCTACCAATATACAACCAACATTGTACTAATATGGTCAAATACTTTCTACTTCCTCTACCAATACAAATACTTTCTACTTCCTCTACCAATATACAACCAACATTGTACTAATATGGTCAAATACTTTCTACTTCCTCTACCAATACAAATACTTTCTACTTCCCCTACTATATACCACCAACATTGTATTAATATGGCCACTATAAAGTTTTACATTTCCCCAACAATGTGGGATGGCGTGGTTGAATGATAGAGCATATGATTGCTAACTAAAATCCCAAGCTCAAATACCAGGTTCTTGTTTGTTAATCATCACTGAGTCCACCCAGCTCTTATGGGTACCTGACTTACATTAGGGAAGATAAAAGGCAGCTGGGCACAGTGATAACCAGACTACCCTTTTATATGCCAAGGTCACTGAAACAAGTGAACTCTACTTCACCTGCCTCATGGGCTGTCAGGTTCAAAACTTATTTCACCAATGTAAAACCAACATCCTACTTATATGGGCACAATTAAGTTCTACTTTCCCCCCCCCCCCCCCCAATGTGAAACCAACATTATACCTATATGGCCCCAATAAAGTTGTACCTTCCACCCCCCCCCCCCCCCCCCAATGTAAAACCAACATTGTACGTATAATATGGCCCCAATAAAGTTCTTCCTCCCCCCCCCCCAATGTAAAACCAACATAGTACCAACATTTCCCCAACATTTGCAGGTCAATAGCCAGGAGTGCCAATGTCAGCCCAGATGATCTGAAGGCCGCGGCCAAGGCCACACCCATTGAGCTGGACCACCCGGCCGAGTGGAAGTTGGCCAAGTGTATCCTGCGCTTCACTGAGGTCATTGACCGCGTGCTGGATGACCTGTTGCTACACTCGCTGTGTGACTATGTGTACGAGCTGACCACTACGTTCACAGAGTTCTATGACAAATGCTATTGTATAGAGAAGGACAAGGCTACAGGTCAGTTATGTAACCAGTTTTATAAATAGGTCAATGACATATGCTATTGTATAGAGAAGAAAAAAGCTGCAAGTCAGTTATGTAACCAGTTTTATAATGGCCTGAAAATGTCAAGTAGTTATATGGAATTCTTTCTTTCCAGCTGAGGTTTTTTTTGTAGTTAAGTAATGATTGTAGTTAGAGTCATTTGGTATGACTTTTAAACATGGTGGTGTGGAAATTAAGTGCTAACATGTTTTTAGAATCTGCAAAAAATATTGTGATCTAATGAATCAGAATGTTTAAAGAATGATTAATACATTAGTAGACAGATTTAAGAAATTATAACTGTTAGTTTTTATTTAAATTAATAATTGATGGTAATTAAGAAATGATTGTAGTTTATCAAAAGGTAAAAAGTAAAGTTTAGTTATAAAAAATAATGTGTCATAAAAAATTATAAAAAGTTTTAAGGAGATATATCCTGAATAGATTGTTAAAAATTTTGATGAAAAATTATGAAATTTTTTTAAAGAGATGTATCCTGAATAGGATGTTAAAAATTGTGATAAAAAAGTATAAATTTTTTTTAAAGAGATGTATCCTAAATAGCATGTTAAAAATTGTGATAAAAAATATAAAAAGTTTTAAAAAGATTTATCCTAAATAGGATGTTAAAAATTGTGTACTCTGTAGGAAAGATCATCCGAGTCAACATGAGCCGCCTGCTGATGTGTGAGGCCACAGCTCTAGTGATCGCTACATCATTCCACATCCTGGGCATCCAGCCACTAGACAAGATGTAACAGCGCCAAAGATCTTGTTTTTTTTGTTCCCTGTTTAATTTTTCAAGAAGTGTAGCAAACCCAATGTGTAGCTCAAAACGTGTTATTGTATGATGTAAAGCGTGCTAATAAAGAGTAAACAAATTCTGGATGTTCCTACCTGTGTCTAAAGACAAATACTTAATTATGAATATCTAATCAATTAAGCATTATAAGGTTGCCATTAAAAATTATAAACCACAGCCCCATTAAGTTAAATTTTCTTTTTCTAAAAGTATTGTTTGTGTATGCAAATATGCGCACACAATAATTAGGACACAAATTGTATACTTAAATATTTTCTTTTTTTATTTGAATATTTCCACGTACAGTAGAAATAAATTTCTTTTTCAAAATTGCTTCTGATAAAAATTGTGGAATGTTTGGCTACAGAAATATCTGTTCCCATATCAAATACTGTCTAGTAATTGTTTCCTTACCATTAACATTAGTTAAGACATTTTAACTTTTAAATTCTTTTATAGGATACCATTAAAAATGTTAATGTCAAATCAGTTTCCAATTAACATAACCCATAATCAAATAAATTTATTTTTCTGTTCAATGGCAGATTCATGTTTTCTGTTCATCAAAAAAACAAGCCTAGAAAATATCAAAACTTTAAAAAATCATTATGGTCCATAATAAACATATTTGACCTACTATGTAGTACATTACAAGCCAGGAACATGAGCCTGGACAGCAAGCCAAAGAATACAAAATATTTTCAGAATGTTGTAGCAGAAATACTCTAGTGTTGAATGAAACCAATAATGCTGCAATAGCTACAGTTGTGGGTTTTATTATAGTTTAGTTAATTGGAGGGTGTGTGGTTCACATTTCTTTGTTAAATTTTTATCTGAATTTAAGCAGTAGTAGAACTATAGAGAACCAGATGCTGACAAAATATTAACTTATAATAAAACTGTATTAAACCTATTCACAAATTTCTATTGCTCAGCAGACTCTCCTTTTCCTAATATTGAGTCAGGTACTCATCAGTGCTGGATGGACTTAGGGACACGCCCAGTAATCATGTATAACAATTTGGTAAAATAATTAAGATCAAATTTTTAATGAAAGATCGCTTTATGACACAAAGCTGTGAAATTCTGGGCTTCATTTCTAAACTAAACCATTAATGTATAACACAACAAAAAACATACTTTAAAAAAAAATTGTTTTATTAAAACAACAAAGTACTATCTCTTCACTGAACTGAATGTGGCCTCTAAAAGTTTGGTTGCTTCCTTGCCCCTGGTGAAAGCTCGTTCTATGCAGGTGTTCAGCTGCTCATCAGATAGTGGGGTTCCACCTGGTCAGTAAAACATGTATGTCAGCAGAGATTCAAAACCTTATGATATTTATTTTTAAAAATGTAAACAAAAACATGACATTTCAAAAATAATTATGTGTAAACAAATTATTATGACATTTCTAAAAAAAAACATGACATTTCTATAATAAATGTAGACAACAAATTATGACATTTCTAAAATCATGAAATGTAAAAAGATAATAATTTTTAAAAATTTCAAACTATCTTAAAATACACTGGTAAGTTAAATATAAATGTTGAAAAAAAAATGATACTATAAGCATAGTAAATATTTTCACTGGAATTACACTAGCATTTCATTACTGCAGCAGTCAAAGTTAGATAACTGTTGAAATACCTGGTTTGTAAATGCTGCACAGGTTGTGTCCCTCTGTTATGATAGTTAACGCCCCTGTTGATAAGGACTCCTCCTCACTTGTTGGATCTACTAACAGGATCGAACTAAAAAAGGCAGAAAAATATAAACATTTATAAAATTTATGACTGTTACACTTAATAAAATAGCCATTCCAGAAATGACATCACACATTATGTTTGGTGATTTAACAGTAACCCCCCTCCTCACCTCTACACTAATGATGCAACACACTTTGTTGTAACTCTTACTCCCCGTCCTATAATTTTTTATATCAAACTCAATCCAGATTAGGTACACTGATTACTTTTTATTACAATACACATTAATTTCCAAATTGAAAATAAATCAATCAACAACACCCCCTTATTTATACAATCTCAAGTGTGACATCATTTATGGTAACCCCGTATGTAATAAAACTTACTTATTAAACACACTTATCACTATCATCGGCTGTACAATAAATCTATCTATTCTTTACTAAACATGCTCCCAACAGCTATAAATCTATATTTTACAAGCTCAACACACTTTACTTACTTGTCAAATATGATGAAACTGGTAGATACAGGACAGCATGACATGGATAAAGATGTGTGTGAGGTGGGATCAGTTTTTATTTCCCCTGAATCTTCATCAACAGTCACTAGGGGTAGAGAGGCTGCACAAGGGAAAGAATCATTATGAATTTAAACAGCTGGGTTTTAAAACTAGAAGGCAATCGTTGAAGTAAGAAAACCATAGAATTAACAAATATACAGTGCACATGATTTACTCTTAAAATGAACAAAGTTAAACCTACTCAACCGAACAAAATTAAACCTACTATTTAAAAATTTTTAAAGCTTATTCAACATACATAACAAAATTAAAATACTATTTTCAAACCTATTCAACAGACACCATTAAACCTAATATTTTAAAGCTTATTCAACAGAACACCATTGAACCCACAATTTTAAACCCTATTCAAAAACACCATTAAACATAAAATTTTTAAAGCCTATTAAATACAACACAAAAAAAACCAACAATCTATAAAACCTATTGAATGGAACACCTACTATTTTTTAAAGCTGCCATCAGAGCTAATGTACATGCATCCATTAGGTTCCCATCATAATCTAAACAAACCATATCTATATACAGGACCCAGACAAGCTGAAAACAAACATGGTTCAATTATAGGATATTTTTCTTTTCATTTTGCTTTAATTAACTACAATTAAGAACATGGTAATGAATAGATATTATATTTCTTTTATTTATGCAAATAATAAGAGATGGCAAGTAAAAGATAAAAGTTTAAATCTTGATTAAAGTTATGAAATGACTTGCCATGGGAACAATTTATGTAGATTTAAAGTTAGGCTTTTTATATTTGAATCAATGTTTAGATATTCTAAAATAAAAACATGTAGAGCACATAAATCATGAAATGTCTTAGACTTTAAAGCATAAAAATAAAAACGTGGTACGCAGAATTCGATTTTACCTTTCCTGGACATATACAGAGATTTTCCAACAGCACACACTGTGAACTAGACAAAAGAATTACAATCATTATATGTATTCTAGCATGAAGTGGAATAATTCTTAATATTTGTATCAGTAAGTTAATTACTTATCTGATATCAGATAATGACTAAATAAAAAGATTACACTTTTTAAGGACAAATAAAAAGTATTTTTTTTTTTTATTTAAGAACAATGTAAATTGTTTTTAAACTGAAAGTAAATATAATACCAATTGCATATTTAAAAGGTTATTTTTATTTAATAAAAATAATTACTTTTGAACAATTTGAATGATGAAAACATATTTGCTATTTAGTAATGTAATTAAATTAATAATCAAATTAAATATAAAATAAGATTAAATTAGTTTAGATTAACGAGGTGTTGAAGCAATGACAACTAGGTTACCCACTCTGTGATCAGGTCTGCCATATTTTTGCTGAGCACCTGGGCTTGTTCCCCAGGGGGACCAGCTCTAAAGGTTGGTGAACACATGGGAGACAACTCCACATTTGGAACTGTTAGAAACAAAAGGCCAGGAGCAGAGGTGTATCCAGGTTTTCGTTGTAGGGGGAGCAAAAAGAGCAAAAAAAAGGCGCCGATTTTTTAACACGTTCTATATACGTATATATATATATATATATATATATATATATATATATATATATATATATATATATATATATATATATATATATATATAATTACTAGCTGTATGTCATTACTTCGCTATGATGTAAAATAAATTGAAAGTAGCACTCTGAAGAAATAAGAAAAAAGCACACAATGTAGGCCGACAAAACAAAAATTGTATCAATCTAAACAAAAAACAAACAAAATATACACACACTACAACCAAAAACAATGAACGTAACACAATCTGTTTTGTAATTCTTGTAAAAAACTTCTTACATAATAATTCCTGGGAAATTATTTAAGACATGTGAAATAGAGGAAATAATCACTCTCTTAATATAAATATGTATATATCTACACATTTAATTATAAATGTCAAAACAAATAAATAATTACTTTAAAATATAATGAAATTGTTTAAAACTATTCGTGTTAACAAAATGTTTTTGTCTATAATCAGAATTAAATAGATCTATATTGTCATCATAAATGCTAAAGTATTACAGCATAATGAAAGTTTTTGAAATCAGAGTTGGTATAAAAGCGCGCTTTTCAATTTAACAGATATTCGGAATAATAGCCTACATTTTTTATTATTTAACTGCTGCTTCTTTGTGTTCCTTAAAGATCGTTTTTAATATAGTGATATGTATGGGTTAGATCACTGTACGTATTGCTCACACACCTTTTTACTGTCCGGTCACTTTAGGTCAATTATCCAACCCAGTGTATACCGGTAAACTGAAAAAAAGTCACAGGAAAAAAAAACACAGAAAAAAGTCACAGTTTTTGCTAGGAAAAAAAGTCACGGAAAAAAAGTCACAATGGAAAAATTTTATCGGAAAAAAAGTCACAGAAATAAAGTCACAGAAAAAAAGTCACACAAATCTTTTTAGAAATCTTTTGATTTATTTGTTAAGAATTGTAAAATTTTGTATGTTATATTTGTGGGTTGTATTTTTTATAGCATAAATGCTTTATAGACGTTAAAAGTATTATGATTTATAAAAATTGTAAGTAAAAATACTCTAAGATAATTTACACAACAATCTTAACTTTTGTTACGTATTTAGTTACATACGCTGTAGAAAAGTTAACTATAAAAGAAATGTAGGCACATCATTGTGTTTTGCATAGGTTTTGCCGTAGGCTATTCTATGGTCGGCCTCTCCTCAGTCGGCATTGTCCGAACATATTTTGTGTTGTTGACGTTTTGTGTCAATGACAGCCTTTGAACCTTGTCGGCTCTCTGTTTTGATCCTAAGTTTTGTTATGTAATGAGCGTGATAAATGTGGGCAGTAAAGGTGGTTGAACTAAGCATAACTATTGTTGCGATGAGTTGAGGGCAGTAATTCAGATGACCTTACCATTTCACGGTAGTTTAATTTTAAAAAAAACACGATGAAAACCGTGGACATTCTGTTAAATGCTATAAATATTATGTTTAACATAATTACAATCTACATAATTCATACTAAATATTTTTAGATGAATTATAAAAATTACTATACGTATACAACCTACACACATTACATTACATTTAATTAATCTTAAGTTAATTTGCACTCTCTGAATATTTAATACATAAAAGTATTAACAAATCCCATGCAAATATATATTTGTGACTTTTTTCCTGTGACTTTTTTTCCTGTGACTTTTTTTCCTGTGACTTTTTTTCTGTGTTTTTTTTCCTGTGTTTTTTTCCCTGTGACTTTTTTTCCTACAATCTGTATACCTAGGTGTGACAATAATGTCGCTCTACACAATTGTGGTGGTGAGGTGTGGGGGGGGGGGGGGAGATAACCAACTCAGAGTGAACATAGCGTCAGTTTTTAGATGACTGTTCTAAACATACATATATATTACACATGTATACTGATTCAGAAATAGTAGCAGTGGTATTATGACAATATTTTTTTTTACAGAGGGGTCCATGGGGGAGGGGGGTTGTAACTGTTTCATATAATTTGTAATCGTATCACTATCGCCCAAACTGTAAGAATACTACGTTGTTGACCTTGTCAAAATTTCTCCACCACTACACAGTTTGCTCATAAGTAAATTTAAATAGAGGTGCCATATCAGTTGTATTTGTTTCTGCATTGTAATTTTCAAAAAATTAATCACACGATTCAAACTGTATAAATAAAGTAATTATGTGTGAAGTTTTATGTATAACATTTTCTAATGCAATTATTCGTAAGCAAATACATTATACAGTTGCATTAAACTTAACACCCCTCTTGCAAAGTGGTACTACCGGTAGAGGATTTTTAAAAATTCCAATGCATCGTAATGGTTATTTTTAGAATGGCTAACTGATGCAGCTGTTAATACGTGTTGTAAACGTAGACACTACTAGACTAGCACAATAATGCTTAATTGCTGCATGAAAAGAAATCTTGTGATTTACATAGATGTACCGACCAAAAATATTTTTTTAAACAAATATCATTGTTTAAAACTTTGAGTTTAAAAAGTTTCCAAAAAGGCGCCACTTTGCTGAAAATGGCCAGAGGGGGAGCGGCCGCTCCCCCTGCTCCCCCCCTGCGTACGCTACTGGCCAGGAGTTTAAAAAAACTGTCAGTCTAAAGTTGGTGAACACATGGGAGACAACTCCACATTTGGAACTGTTAGAAACAAAAGGCCAGGAGTCTAAAAAACTGTCAGTCTAAAGTTGGTGAACACATGGGAGACAACTCCACATTTGGAACTGTTAGAAACAGACAGGGACTTTGTAAAAGCCAAAAAAAAAAAAGTCTTTAAGAGATTTACATTTATTTATATCAGGGATGAGAGGAAATGTGTGTTTGAATATATTATTGGGAGCCTTTCATATAAAATGTTGTGCATGTGATTTCACTATAATTCTTTAGGTAAGTCAAGCACTATAAATTGTTGATACCTATAAATCCTTTTTTTCCATCTGCACCAGGCTGTGTGATTTCCTGAGAGAAAAAAGATTAATATTAAAATATTGGTGAGAGGGAACAGTATGGGGTCAGTAAGAGGAAAATGGAGTGAGCCATAGGGAACAGTTAAGTGTATAAGGGAACAGCAGTATGGTGTGAGGTTGGGGAACCAAAGTGAGTGACAGCGGGGAACTAAAGCAAGTGAAGGTAGGGAACTGAAACGTGTGAGGGTGGGGAACCAAAGCGTGGGGAGCAGGTTGAGCACTGACAGCTCATGTGGAGTACGCAACTGGGTTAACTACTTACTGCTTTCACACCACAGATGACAGTTGTGTTACCAAGCTTTACTAGAGAGGACCCTTCTGTTGTTGACACACACCCTGCACAACAGAAGATAAAAATAATTTGAATCTATACAAGAGTAAACTAGTAACCTTTTATTCCATATGTTATCAATTTAAAAAACTAAAATAAAAAAGAAATGAACTAAAAATGTAAATTTCCCAAAAAAAAAAATGTTCCTCACCAATATTTAATATGGTTTGTCGAAATTCACCAAGCTCTCTATCATCTGGTCGAACATCCTTTTCCTAAAAAAAAATTCCGTTAGAAATAAAGTAAGTGTAAGGAGCAACAACTGTATAAGCAAATCTTGCAAAGATTTAAATTTAAATTAAAATTGTTAAGGTCTATAATGTAAAAAAAGTACTCAGTAATAAAAATTCTAAATACCAAGAATTTTGTGTAGTACTCCTTGGGCTGTGTAACTCTGTGATAAAAAAAAAAGAAAATTTTTAAATTAAGACCTCCCTAATCACATCCTTGAAAAATTAATATCTAAACCTAAAGTCCTAAAGTTTGAATTTTCTAAATGGTAGCAGGCAGTAATTTTTTTAAAAAATAGCTTAAAAAATCTATTCTTTAACTAGCAACTCTTTAAAATATCTTAAGAACTAAGAAATAAACTAATGAATTAACTTTAATTAAGTTTGGTGCCTAGGCCTAAATCTGAACTAGAATAGATATAAATCTAAATCGAATGTAACAGCTTTTTAAACTTTTAGTTAGAGTAACTAGATTTAAGTCTACAATCTAAAAATTAGGCCTATGCCTACTCAAATATAACTTTGAGAAATATGATTAGGCCTAAAATTATTAGGGTCTAGTTTACAATTAGGCCTATTCAATTGGCATATCAATATCAGTGTCTATCAGACTATCTGACCTGTATTGTGTAATGTGTATCACAATGGAAATAGTATCAACAGAGTTTCTTCCAGGCATCTCCCCGCAAAGAAAGTCTACAGCCACCGCCCCCCCCCCCCCAACGAAATGGAATTTATTACAAGCGTCTATACTTATAGTATAGTGAGTCTATACTCTATAGCCTATAGTCTATCTATAGACCGATAGATAGAAAATTTTAAATTCTTACTTTTAACTGTGTTTTAACCCCCCCCCCCCTCGAAAATTTTAGTCTGCCCCCCCCCCCCCCCCCCCCGATGAAAAAAGAAAAGTCTGGAAGAAACATGGTGTATCAATCAGAGAGGCGTAGTGACCCTTCCCAGTGCCCAGGGACAAACTTTCGATTTGCACCCCCCTCGAACTTTGCCTTGCATTTGCACCCCCTCCTCAAACTTTCAATTTGTTTTTCCAACCCATTTTGGCGCCCCCCCTAAGGTCGGCGCCCGGGGACATGTGCCCCCCCCCCCCAGCCCCCACCCCCCCCCCCCCCTCGCTACGCCTCTGGTATCAATCACTGTCTCACTCAAAAATAAAAAAAACGTGAAAAGCCTGACCTAGGCTAATCTAAAATTTATTTTAAATATTTTAGTAACATCGCATCCGGTTTTTTAAATTATTTAATACCCCAGTCGAGACTATTAACGGCTGCGTCCGTTTAAATGACGGGCATAATGTAATGAAATACATACTTCAACTACTTCATTACGCGTGAGTAAAAAACATTTACCAACCTTACTTGATCCGCCATTGTTATTTACAATTTTCATACTTCTTCCGTTGCCGCATTTTATTGATGTGTTGTCACAAAATATTATTGTCCAAATTTCGAGTTAAAACTATTTTAACATTTTATGATTAAAATCATTAAACAATCTATAAATCTAATTATCACTGTGGTTTAATCAAATTTTTAGTACTATGTTTGTAATATAATCAAATCTTTTTTTTTAAATTAGTGATATCTTAAACTGGCTTGTTTCGTTATTAATTTTAATGTCTTTTTTTTCGGTCCTTTCCGAGTCTGGTCGGCTTTGTTCGTAACATCAAAGGCAGAGGAAGTCTGCACAACGAATATGGCTGAACTTTATTAGCTCTACATCACAACAATTGCCGTCTGATGAAGAGTTAAAGTCAAGTCTCCACTATTATTAACTGCATAGCCTCTATCTCAATTGATCGCAGATTAATCTAATTATTCTGTTACTGCTAGTAAGTCGTATCACAACGAACATAGACTTTTATAGAACATTTGACAACAGGTGCTCTGCCCACTGACACTCAGCCACTGCTACCGACCGACCCACCGACTTTTTTTCCAACTCACTTAATTTGATAATGGTAGATTTGTGAAGTTATAACATTATACAGTATATTCATGTGATTTAAAATCAGCGTATTATGTCCTTACTCAACAGTATCTGTTGACTCGCCAACACTAATCAAATCATGAATCAAGATTAAGTATTTTTGTTCTAAATAAATTATTAAATTAAAATGATTTGGTTCTTCTCAATATTTTTAAGTATGCATTTCTAGATGACTAAAAATTTACAAATAAAAGGGTTATTGGAATATTAAGAGTAACAAGCCACTAGATTGTAGTGTTTTAACAGGCCTACAGCAATATTTACACCCTGCAGAACTCAGAGAAAGTCAAGAAAATCCACCTTTTGAAAAGTTTCCTCAGAAAAAAAAATTCTGTCGGAAAATTTTTTTCCACCATCCGACTATTTTGTAAAACATTGGCGAGGTGGGTGGGGCTGTAGACTGAATTCTTTGATGCCATTTGTTGTGTGTCTAGCTATTAATGATGATATGGGTTGGGGTAAAATTCGGTTGGTTAAAATTACATCATTAATGTACAACCGCTAGGCTGCGCCTTATATATCACTTTACCATCATGGTTATTTATACAATTTCCTCTAGCAGAGATGTAATTTTTCTATTTTGCAAAACTCTTGCTTTTTCTTAAAATTAAAATTGCTCAAAGCTTTAGTGCAGACTACTCTGTTTCTCTTTCTATTTTGTATTGACCAAAAGAAAACAAACTAAAGTTTGAAACAGAAATAATCAGAGAAATGTGCTGTGCTCGTATTACTTTTACCTCACCCACTTTTTACGGCCGCGCTGACTGTGAAGCTAATGACACAAGACAGCACATGCACATTCTACAAGCTCTTTTTAAAAATTATCTTAATTATTTTATTTTGCTAAATTGTTAACGAAAAAACCTCTTGATCTATGCCATAATTTTTTGACACCAAATAAGCTTTTACAAGCGATCAGGTCTTAAATTTGTGAAGAAGAAAAACCTTGAATTTCTTGAATCACTACGAGCACTCTGTTTCTATCTCTCTCTCTCCCCACCCCCCACCCAACTCTGACTTAGTGTTACAGAGTTTTTAAAATAATATTCTAGGTTAAATAAAATAAGAATAGAAATCTTCATAATAACATGATTTTAAATGTGCTAAAAGTAAGAAAACAAAGCTTGTTTTCTTTTGATGAAATAGTCAAAGCATTGGTTGCTAAAAGAACATCATGTTTGAAAAATCACATTTTTTTTGTTTCATTAAAACTACCACAATTTTTTCGTCCTTCCTATAATGATTTTATGATTTTAATATTGGTAAAATTTGGTGCAAAATTTTTTTATTATTAAAAGTTTTGATAAAAGGGCCTTGTTATGGAAAAGTAATACTTCTTAAAGGTTTCTTTTGGGTTAGGCAGCCATGGAAATTATTTTCTGACAAATGTCTAAAGAACACAAATATAAACATAGCACTATTGCATAAAATAAATCATTGTTTATACTGTAATTAAAAGGAGATTACTTTTTTGCATTGTTTTATAGTTGCTTAAACATTTCCTGTTAAGTCACAAAAATTCAGGAATCTCATCTTTGTATAAAATGTCAGGAATCTCAGCTTTCATCTAGCAGTATAAACCTTGTTCCTAACATATACATCACTTTCATCATTAGCTCTCTAACATGTTATGTGTATAATATTTTGTAAGTACACTCTTGTTAAGTGAAGCTCTATCATTTTCACATCAGTAACTGCAGTTTAAAAAAAAAATATTAAAATATATTTTTACACTGAGCTAAAAATGTTAACCACCTATTTTTTTTTAACTAGGCCAGTGACGTATAGTGTTAGTTTGTTTTTAAAACTTGTCATTTATTTGTTACATGTTTAATGATAAACATCAGCCATTGTGTTGTTAGTACTGTAGTTAAACAGTGAGGTATCCGCTACACAAAAGAAACTATTTTTTATGTTGCTGACTATGTTCTGTAGACTTAGATTTTTATCAGTATAAGTTCCAGCTGTCACAGTGTTTGTTGTTAAAAAGTGTTTTTGAGCTTCACTGCTATTTATAATTCTTACGTAGTTGTTTTAGTTGTGGGATAAAGATTTGTACAATATTTTTTCCTCCCCAGTTGAGAGCTGCTAATGGCTATATGAGTTTTGATGGCTGGAAAAAAGATTGACATCAACACTGCAACAATAAGTGATCTAGAGAACCTGTCTGGTGTAGGACAGCACAGAGCTGAGGCTATAATTAGACACAGGAGGGTCAGTTTTTTTATTTTATTGGTTTCAGATTTAGTCATAGCCCTAATGTAATATTTTAGCCAGGAATCTCTTAGTTTAATTACTCTTTGAATGGATCAATAGTCAAAAGCAAGGTTTTCACTAAATCTATACAGTACACAGGTGTATGAGTTTAACTATGGAATTTTATTTTGTTTTATCTTAATACAGGAAAGTGGTGGGTTCCACAGTGTTGTCGAACTATCACTAGTGCCTGGAATAAGTCCCGCCATCATTGAGCAGAATAAAGGCCGCATCATCTGCCGGAGGCCTTCTCCAGCCAAAAAGAGAAATGGGCAGATAAAGAAGTAAGTTACAAATTTTAGTTTTTGTAACTGCATTAGTAGAAATTAGAGTGTGTATTGAATTGATATCAGTGTAAAATATTCACTTTTTTTACTTTGTGTTTTGTAGTCAGAGGCGAACAACTCGCAAGCATGGATCCACCCAAGAGGCCTTAGACATCTGTATAACTGAGCCATCAGGAAGTGGTCCCGACTGTGTTCACTCGTCCCCCCCACCCTGCCACTTCACCCGCTCCCAGAGCGCCGCCCTCCGCCTGGGTCAAGGCTGCTCCTCGTCTGAGACCCCGCCAGCAGAGAGCTCCTCCACCAGCTTCATTGTCACCCGGAGTGGTGGGGGTGGGGGGAAACCTGCTCTCAACAACAGGGCCCACGAAGAGGACAGCGGTAATGATGGGGATGATGAAAGAGATGATAGAATAGCCGCCGCCGCAGCCGTGGAGGAGGATGCTAATATACAAAATATAAACATTGAAAATGGTCATGAGGAGAACGGTGTCTTGGATAATGAAGGAGTGTCAGATAATGAAAGCGAGCAGGATGATGATGAGAGTGTGCTGAGTCATCCTCTGGAGGGATTTGATGATGACTGTGATAATGAGGACAATAATTACGAGGAGGGGGAGGAAAATGGTGAGGTTGAAGATGAGGTGGAGGAAGAAGGGCATCATAGACATTCTGTCAGCTTCAACCTGAGGCCACGGTCAAGCTGTTGTAACTCAAATAAAGATGAGAAGGGAGATTCTAAGTCTGTAAGTACACCTTGTTAAAAAGTACGACAATTTTTCAATACATTTTTGTATAATTTTTATTGTAGACTCTTAGTCTATATTCATTGTTATTGAAGAAGAAGGCATTTATTTTGACTGAACCAAGGTTTTTTTTTTTTTTTAAATATCTTACAGCTGAGCTGACCTATTTTGATCTAAAAACTATTTTTATTCAGTTGCACCAATGCTGAACTTCATGGTTAATTAAATTTGTGATCACTCTTTCTTATATAATTTTATTAGTTAATATCTGTTGATTAATATATGGATGTATTAAAATTTCACCACAGTAACATGATTATGTTTCATGTTCCAGCATCAAAAAGTTAAATAGAGAGAATAACCTGTCCAAGTATTTAAAAAATAAATGCTGTTTGAAATATATATACTGTATACAGTTGAAGTTGTTAAAAAACATCGTCTATGTTAAAATGTTTACTGTTTTAGCCATTGAAAAGAAAATCTGAGGCAGAAGATGATACTGACATGTCACCAGGAAAAAAGCTCAGAACTGCCATGGTTAGGTAAGTTCACTTACCTTGCTGGAAATGTTTGTTTTAAAATTTATCAGTCCTATTTTTTTAAAATCACATTTAATTTAATTTAGACAATGTTTTTTATCATGATGTGTAAGAGTAACAAAACAAGATTAAAACAGTCACTTAAATATAACTTCAGTTTTTATTCTATTTACTTTTAAGTTATGATTTAATAGGTTGCTAGGTTTTTATGTATGCTATTTTTTAATAGACATTACCTATTTTGATTGATCAAATGGTATATCTGTTAAAGCTCTGCTTATTTGAATTTTCTATTACAATCCCTAGTTGTCATATATGTGGCCAAAGCCTTGCTAAAGTTCCACGATGGAGGTTGGCACAAATGCCTAGAGGAAAAATTCCATCAAAAGAGAATCCTCCTCCAAAGATGGACGACTGGTTAAGAACATTTCAGGTAATTTAAAAGGAGTTGAATAAATAATAAAACTGTGTGTGCCCTTCAGACTTTTGGATGTTACAGATTTAAATATGATTCTACTTTTTTTTCCAAATTAATTTTACTTAAGGGAAATAATTCTCTAACATTTTAATGCTTTTTTTTTTGAAGAATATTAAATTTCTTTCAATTTCTACAATGAATAACTGATTGGTTTTTATTTAAGGCCTGGGGTAATGCAGAGCGGATGATGGCGGTGGATGAGCTGATAAATCTCTGTGATCCAACCCAAGTCAGGCACATTATGCAGGTCATTGAACCACAGTTCCAGAGGGATTTCATTTCACTATTGCCTAAAGAGGTAGGTCCATTCACAGCAGAGAAAAAACTATCTTCTTTATTTGATTAAAATTTCTTGTTTGTAAACTCAGAAATAAAGAAAATAGAGTAATGGAAAATTACCTCTTTAATTCTATGGTTAGTAGGGCAAGTGAAGTAAGGTTCACCTTCCAATGATTTCTGCAAATTGAGTGATAGTGTAGTCAGTTCTATGCCCAGTTAGCTTTACTTTCCCTAACGTGCATAAGTTACCCATCAGAAGACATACTATCAAACTGAGCCATTTAAGTTAGCAGACCCTACTGCTTCTTTAGATATCGAATTAGTACAAAAATATAATCATGCTTAACAAAACAATTTTAGCAGCCACCACCAACTTGAACACAGCATTTGTAATTTTTATCACTCAATTCTATTTTTCAGCTTGCCTTATATGTGTTATCATTTCTGGAGCCAAAAGATCTGCTACGGGCTGCTCAGACTTGCAGGTACTGGAGAGTCCTTGCTGAGGATAATCTCCTTTGGAGGGAAAAATGTAGAGAGGAGGGTATAGATGAGGAGACGGTGTATGGTTCTCGCATGAGGCGGCGTCATTCAGCTCGCAGTCCTTACAAGTCGCTGTTCATGCGACAGTCTCAGATAGAACACAACTGGAGGACAGGGGTTAATCGCCCTCCTAAGGTTAGTCATTACATTTTATTTTCATTCATTAATTAGTAATACATTATAATAAATGTTTATTCAGTAATTGACCTATAAAGATTTATGGTTAGTTTTCACTAAGTGATACATAACATGGGTTGTGGTCTGTGATCACATTGCAAATTTAGCATGCATACAACTAGCCAAAGGTAGTCTCTACTTTGTTTCAACGTATTTCTGTAGGTTTTAAAAGGCCATGATGACCATGTCATCACATGCTTGGAGTTTTGTGGGAATAGAGTGGTCAGTGGCTCTGACGACAATACATTGAAAGTTTGGTCTGTTACTTCAGGAAAGGTAAAAAAAAGAGTTTGTTTTGTATGTCCATTGAACTTAATAATACAAGCTGTTTAATTTTTTTTTTAATTTGAATACAAAAATTAAAAACAAAAGTTACTAAATTTAATAATTACCTTTTTACTTTATTTTACAGTGTTTGCGTACACTAATTGGTCACACAGGAGGAGTCTGGTCATCTCAAATGTCAGGCACAGTTGTAATTAGCGGGTCAACTGACCGCACGCTCAAGGTGTGGAATGCAGAGACTGGACAGTGCAGGCACACCCTCTATGGTCATTCGTCTACAGTGAGGTGCATGTCTCTCCATGACAACCAGTAAGTGATTCTGCCTCATTTTAGGATATTTTTTTGTTCATTTATTTATTCAATTACGGTAACAATAGTAGGCACAGAGGCCTTTTTTCACATTGGCCGTTTTAAAATATAATTGTTGTTTTAGTTTAGATTTGAATATATTTTCAGATCTAGTTTTATTTTGTTAGGAAGATTGTTCCACAAATTAAAACCAGAGTAGGCGAAGCTATGTTTTTGGAAAAAAAAGTTGTATTAAATCATTTAATAGCTAATTAAGAAAGTTTGTTTGTTTTAGATTGTTAATTATTTATGTATTATTTTTAGTTTTCCTTTCATTGATAAAAATGCACCTATTAAATGCAAGGCATTAAGTTAACGAAGTGAAGATGCTGTAGTTTGTGATTAACTAGGCAATGGGGTTCAAATATTCGGCCCTGGTGTTTGTGTGACTTGTGAGTCTACAACATGGGGTCGCAAACTGGTGTGCATGCATATATTTAGAACTTTTGTCCATTGTCAGGGTGGTCAGCGGCTCAAGGGACGCAACACTGAGAGTCTGGGACATTGACACGGGGGTCTGCAAGCACATTCTCATGGGGCACGTAGCAGCTGTTAGGTGTGTTCAGTTTGATGGTAAACGTGTTGTCAGTGGTGCGTACGACTACACAGTTCGAGTGTGGGATCCTGAAACAGAGACCTGTCTACACACACTACAAGGGCATTCCAATAGAGTTTATTCTTTACAGGTTAGTCAACCATTTGTATACTATTTATCATGAGCTTAACTCTTCTCAACATGAAAACAGTCCACTTGTTTTTTTTTCATTTTTAAGGGTTTGAAAATAATAATTAGATAAGTATATTACTTTTCACTTTTTCTTTCATGTGATAATGTAAAAACAACAGAAAAATCCTAATATATAATGGCCCATGTGCGCTCTTCTCTCTCTCTGTCTGTCCGCAAAATATTTTCGCCGGACATCACGTCAGAAACGGCAGCGATATATGGAGAGAACTTTATACAGACTTTTGTTGAAAATAATATGTTAGATGTTTTAAATGTATAACCACAATTTTATTTAAAGAAGAAAAATAAAAAATAAAGGCGTATTCGAATGTAGAGAAACAGTATTATTTATGCAACCGGAAAAGCATTAATAGATGTGAAAAAGAACGCATAAAACAGTGACGTCACTATTGCTTATACATTAACTAATGACGTCATCTGCCGTGTTTAGAATAAAAAGAAATGAACTATTTCATTCAAATTTGATTTAGATCTACGTACACTATGAAATGTATACAATACAATTTTTCCGGCCTAAACTCATAAAATTTATTTTATTTATTTGGATTCTAGATCTAGATATTCTAGATTCATCTATTCAAATAATACATTTCTATACTAAAGTATTTCAGGCGTTAATTACTTTATTGAAATCTTTGTTTATCTATGCAATTTGCTAATCTCTATAATATATAAAGCAAAGTTGTCGGGTGCCCGATAGGGCACTTCCCGGCGCCGCAGGCTCTTCAAATTTGGCAGGATCTTGCCTTGGGGCGACAGAACACGGGGGCCGGTTGGCCGAAAAGTCTACGATGATTGGGTCAAAACTGACCTCGACTGACCGGCGCCTTATATGAGCTATAAATCGAAAAAAAATGTCCACAGAGGAACCTCTTCATAACGCCTGAGGTCGTAGACCGACCCTCGGGCGAATTAATTAAGCATTCAAATTCTCAATGTTTTCGAAAGCCTAAGTGAAGCTGGGCAGCATGCCTAGTATAATTATAATTGATAACGCGTTGGTGAAATCCTAATATATTTCGTCAAACTTTCTTCTATCCCCGCGGCAACGCGCGGGGTCGGGTACGCTAGTGTATTAATGATTGGTTAGATAAGGAAACCATTGTTTTAAATTTAGATATGTCCCCAAAAATAAGATGTAATTTTTTGCATTGAAGCTGGTTTTGAATATATATTTTTAGAATCCCATGTTCTAAGACTGTATTCCCTTGATAGAAACTTTGTTCATGCTAAACAACATAAGAAAAAATGTGATTTGTATTCCAGTTTGATGGTGTTCATGTGGTCAGTGGTTCGCTGGACACATCTATCAGAGTGTGGGATGTTGAGTCTGGCAACTGTCTCCACACCTTGATTGGTCATCAGTCACTGACCAGTGGGCTGGAGTTAAAAAACAATATACTTGTCTCGGGCAACGCAGACTCAACAGTCAAAGTTTGGGATATAACAACTGGACAGTGTCTACAGACCCTACAAGGTAATTTTAATTTTTTTGTATATTTAGCACCAAGTAGCTAAGTTTTCTAGCCTTGGTATATGAATAATTTCTATCATGGATATTTTTTAATTGATATGTATGGATGTATATAAAGGAGAAAGCAGATTCAGCATCAATCTATTTTAGGGAAAGCGTTACTCCATTTTTAAATTATCAAATATTGGCATTGTACGTATCTTGTAGCTTAAAATGTAGGTCATCCACACTCAACCAGCTGAAAGAAATCCACATCTCATTGAAATGATAAAAAAATTAAATTCACTATACACATTTTCAATTATTTACTTATACATATGTCAAACATTACAAAATGTACCAATTTTGAGCTTATTTCTAATTTCATTGTGGAGCAAACCAATTTTGACTTTTAGACATTTTGATAGGATAGTGCAGTAAAATTCTAATCTGTTTACCAGACTTTATAAGGCTCTGGCTACAGAAAAAAAATTTCATCTTTTCATTTCGACTATTAGTTTTAGTTGTTTATTAAATGTTTATGACATTCATTAAAACTTGGCATTATTGATGTGTTTTAACCTTCTCAATGTTAATGCATTTCAGGGCCAAATAAGCACCAAAGTGCAGTGACTTGTCTGCAGTTTAGTAAAAAGTTTGTAATAACTTCCTCTGATGATGGCACTGTTAAAATATGGGACCTCAAAACTGGAGAGTTCCTCCGTAACCTAGTGACTCTTGGAAGTGGTGGGAGTGGGGGTGTTGTATGGAGGCTGAGGTGTTCTAACACTCGTCTAGTTTGTGCCGTGGGCAGTAGGAACGGGACAGAGGAGACAAAGCTTATGGTCCTAGACTTTGATGTGGAGGACAAGGACAGGAAATATTATGGTGATCAGCAGTTGGAGAGGAGACATTCTTCTGGACCACAATAGATTGGTGGTTGATGATAAAAGACATGTGAAACCATAAACCCACAACTTACATTTTACAATCAGCTTGTGAGATCAATCTCAGCTAAATTTTGCGTCAATATAAATGGCCACAGAATTTGACTTGAAAGGTTTTTATTGAGAATAGAACATTTCCAACAAGTTTTAAGGGATTAAGGTTGTTTTCTTTAATTTCCATGTTATAAAGATATTTCCTTTGCTGCAAATTTTCTAGCAAGTTAGTATTACATATATTGTTTCAATTATATTCTTTATTTTTATTAACAAATTTTAAATTATTTTCACTAAAACCATGCTTGTATATTTTTCTACAGAAACTATATTTAGGTAAAGCTATCAATAGGTTCTAACATCAAGCGCAATCTTTTACTAAATACATACATGACATATCAAAAACCTTTTTGGTTTGAATTCCCCCTTGCTTGAGAGACAAAGTTTAGTTTTTAAAAATATTGTTTAAACTTTAGAACAAATATTAATATGAATAGTTGACAAATAGCTTATAAATAAAATAAATCCGTAACTAATATAATAAATAAATTAGCTTTGTTACACGAGTATACAGAGAATTCATATTAGCCCTCGCAAGTTTTAAAGTTTTTTCAAGTTTGGTGTCAGTCGTTAAAATAGAAACTTGCCCAAGTATTGAATAAACAGAAACAGATTTTTCAATAATTACTTTCTCTGAAGAAGCCATTGTTTCTGCTCAACAGTTCCACCTTGAATGTGACGTAAGCTCACTTGCTGTTATTACTCTATTGTAACTCTTGTCTATATTGTACATTGTATGCCCGAGGTCAGAGTTCACTGTGTGCTTGTGTTCCTGCTACCACCATCCTGATTGTGGTGGACTATGTTGAGATAAGCACCACATTGAAGTTAACTCCATGTTGTTTCATATTTCCCATCAATCAAACATTATTACTTATATGTGTATAAAATTTTATTTCTATTATGTTGAACAGATTTTAATTGTTATAAAGGATATACTTATTTTAATAATCCTTTTTTTTAAATAGTCTATGTTCTAAACTATAATTAAAAAAAAGAAAAAAGGATCCTATTTTGCAAAAAATCTGTAACTAATTACGAATTTTCAAAGTATTAGTTTGTTGGAAATGTTTAAAAAATAGTTGGGTTCTTTTACTTGTGATATAATAAAGTTTTATTTGATGTGGTTAAAAATAGCTAGCTAGCTGTAAAATGGTTTAGATGAATTGATGGTGGTATTGGGGGTGGTTTTACATTGGCTGCAATAGAATAAACTGTACCATTGGCTTGGGAGAGTAGTAAGATTTTAGCAAGGGCAAATTAGATATTGTTTTATAAAATGGGTACGTTCAAAATGGCTGGTGTAAAATGTATCAACTTAATACCATAGGCTGGGGAGAGTTGTAAGGTTTAAGCAAGGGTTGATTAGATAGACATTAACCCATCTAGTATCTCAGATTCCTAGTCATGTTTGAAGCACTAGAGTATATAGGAGTCAGTATATTCTTTGTATATTACAAAGAACATTGTCTAATGCATGTTGTTTTCCCAGATGATATTTTATGTTACATTTATTAATCACTTGAACTCTTGTTTATATATATATGTAAAAACAAAAACAGCTACCAAACACTGTTCCTTAAATTGGTATATGGTAATGGTCTACTTAAAACTTTGATTTCATCTAATTGCTGATGAAATACTATTTTTATGGATGTGTATATCTGAGGCAGTATGATCATTTTTTTTTAAACAATGTGATAATCAGTGTTCTTTGTACATTAAAAAAATCTATATATGCATTCAATAGTATACAATATTCACTATTTAGAATAACAAAATTGTGTATGGTCTGAATATATAGTCATATAGTCACCTGGTAAAGTTTAAGAATTGGGATAACATATTTTATTTGGTTTTTAAATTGTTTAAACAGATATAAAGAGGGTCAAGATTGTTTTTTTTATTATTATTAAAAGCTAATATAATTCTAAATTTTTTTATTTTTATTAGGATGACATTTTTACTAACTTACTTAGCCCTGCTTCCAAGATATTGTATTTCAATTGTCATTGTTTGGGTTTCCTTTAAAAGATTTAGGTATTTTTATCCAGACTGTTAGTTCTATTTTAGATTTAACTACATCACTCTAAATTCCCAAGCATAGTTTAAACTTTACTTTTTATAAATTTGTAAAAAAATTTCATTAAAAATTATTTTTGAAACTATTAATCATTACAATAGTTTTAACATCAATACTCAAACCCTTATTTTTTTTCTGCTTGCATTCTAAAGATCTATCCTCTTAATGGTTTTGACTCTTAAAATTAACCTTTTTAACAAATTACTAAAGTATTATTCAACAACTAGTTTATGCATTGTGTGTTTAAAAAAAACAGATGTCTTGTTAAAGTTTCTAAGTTATACTAAAAGTCTTTGTTTTTACTTTTCATTCCTCTAACAATTGTTGTAGCTTGCACCAAAATGGCATTCTTGTATTTCATTTTAAAAGATTTGGTTCTATGTTTTTTAGCAACTTGTTTTAATCAGTCGAGCTACTACCTAATTGTTATATTGATTTCATGAATATTTTTGTTTTCAATCTAGAATAACCTCCCTTATGACTTTATTATAGAGTAATCTCCCTTATTTGGTAGCATACTTTTACTTGTATATCCTGGTAATTTGACAAAGTGGGATTCTCACTCAAGTACGATATTAGGCTCACCAACATGTAGTGTATTTTATCACTTTGTAACATCTGGTTCAGCTCAAATGCCTTTGACAGTCTTAATAAATATTTATGGATGACTTCCATTGTTTATCTTAAAATTAACCCTACCCCATCAAGCATGCTGTAGGAAATTAAATTTTTTGTTTTTCTAAATTATGTTGATATAGTTTTGTTGGCCAAGGGAAGCTACTTTCAACTCCCAAGATAACTGAGACAATGTTTACATTTAACACAAACACCTTGCATTTGTTTTCAACACTCTGAGGTACCAACTGAATAACCAATTAATGATACACGTGAAAATAATTCATTATTTTTCTCCACGCCTGTATGTTCCAAGCACAAAATCAGACAGTCTTACCCATATAATTGTTGTATCTTGATTGAGGCGTATGACCAAATTCACATATGATTTGATACTGACTAGCAAATGGCATGGTAGTTGAGGACAGCGTCCAATGCGGTAATTAGTATTCTTTTAATGTTGTTCCCATGTGATTTATACACATAATACATTCATAAATTACAAAAAACTGAATCGCATATTTATTTCTCCTCTTCTTAAATACATTCAGTTATGGCTCATCACACGGATTTACATGTTGTAAACTTTTTTTTTTATTATTTCAATGTTTTGTTTGAGTATATAAATATATTTATAAATTTCAGTATGCCCCTGAGTAGGATGGTTAATCCTTGCTATTTATGTTGCTTCGCTAAATTTAAAAAAAAAAAATTTTCGTATTATTTTCAATATGTGTTTTAAAACAAATTATTTTTTATCATAACCTTGTAGTTAAAAAGATTTTTCATGCACCGGAGAATTACTATATATGTGACAACAAGAAAATTTGCATTTAGTCTTTTGAGTATGCTATGTGCTTTTAGTACCATGAAAGTACGGTGTTACAGATTGTATCACATAAATTTTATATACTTTGTTGGTAAAAATTAATTTTCAACATTACTTTTTACATTTAAAGGTAATTTTTTTTTTTCATATCAGAGACATACATAAAAACTGTTTGTCTTTTTAAATTGAGGTTTAATTTGTGATTTTTTTTTATATATATATTTTTTGAATGGCCAGTTATTTTTTCATGATATGAGCCAAACTGAATGTATGCCACCTTGTACATGTGTGTCATATTGTCCTAAACATTTGACTACAGTGAGATTCTATTGACAGTGGAGTGTGCTGCGTGTTGACTGTGTGTTCACCTCGGAGTGCTGTGTGTATCTGACCTCCTCTATTACTGGCTACATCTTTTGGTTGAGCATGAAGTGGTTATAAAGTTTCTGAATGAATAAATTTGAATAAACATAAACGTTATGTGTTTTAGTGAGGTTTATTTTGATTGAATGCTTTTGTATGGGTTTTGTTGTTTCTTCTTCTTCGTTCTTAATTTTAGTGTTGGAAGGGATCCCCTTCAACACAATTAAGTATACGTGTCAACTGGTTATGCGTCATTGAGTCCGTCGACTCGAATTTCAGCCTGCTTTTCTTTTCGGATTTGCTTCAATGGCCTTTGACAAACCAAGAACAAACTACAAGGCAGCAGTTGTTTGATTTTGGAGTTGTCTCTCCTAGAAGAGTGGCTGTCCAAAGCTAATGAGCCGCATCTGCTAGAGGGTTCGAACTCGAGACTTTTTGGTTTACCAATCATGAGCTTTACCGACTTGACCACGTTTTGTTGTTTAAAACTTTGATTGTATTCAGATCTAACTGGTTCACTGTTTTATCCTCTGCACATCAAGGATCTATTGTCTGCATCACTTGCCTACAGTGTCTACAGCACTTGACTCAGCTTAGCTCCAATGTCTACACCACTCCACTGTCTGCATCACTTAGCTCCACTGTCTGCACCACTTAGCTCCACTGTCTGCACCACTCCATTGTCTGCACCACTCCACTGTCTGCACCACATAGCTCCACTGTCTTCACCACTCCACTGTCTTCACCACTAAGCTCCACTGTCTGCACCACTTAGCTCCACTGTCTTCACCACTTAGCTCCACTGTCTGCACCACTTAGCTCCACTGTCTTCACCACTTAGCTCCACTGTCTGCACCACTTAGCTCCACTGTCTTCACCACTTAGCTCCACTGTCTGCACCACTTAGCTCCACTGTCTGCACCACTTAGCTCCACTGTCTGCACCACTTAGCTCCACTGTCTTCACCACTTAGCTCCACTGTCTGCACCACTTAGCTCCACTGTCTTCACCACTTAGCTCCACTGTCTTCACCACTTAGCTCCACTGTCTTCACCACTTAGCTCCACTGTCTGCACCACTTAGCTCCACTGTCTGCACCACTTAGCTCCACTGTCTTCACCACTCCACTGTCTTCACCACTCCACTGTCTTCACCACTTAGCTCCACTGTCTGCACCACTTAGCTCCACTGTCTTCACCACTCCACTGTCTGCACCACTCCACTGTCTGCACCACTTAGCTCCACTGTCTGCACCACTTAGCTCCACTGTCTTCACCACTTAGCTCCACTGTCTGCACCACTCCACTGTCTGCACCACTTAGCTCCACTGTCTGCACCACTTAGCTCCAATGTCTACACCACTCCATTGTCTGCACCACTTAGCTCCACTGTCTGCACCACTTAGCTCCACTGTCTGCACCACTTAGCTCCACTGTCTGCACCACTTAGCTCCACTGTCTGCACCACTTAGCTCCAATGTCTACACCACTCCATTGTCTGCACCACTTAGCTCCACTGTCTGCACCACTTAGCTCCACTGTCTGCACCACTTAGCTCCAATGTCTACACCACTCCATTGTCTGCACCACTTAGCTCCACTGTCTGCACCACTTAGCTCCACTGTCTTCACCACTTAGCTCCACTGTCTGCACCACTTAGCTCCACTGTCTGCACCACTTAGCTCCACTGTCTGCACCACACTGAGCTGTTAAATCTTCTCGCTCCATAGCCTTTACACTCTAGCACCAGTTGCTTGTAGTGTCCCACTCTACAGACTCGATCACATAGTACCAGCCTTTACGGCGGGTGTGTCGCGCCCTCCTTCATTGGACCTTCATGCATGTGAGTACTTCTACTGTTTGAGCTGGTTAGCGCCAAGAAGGAAAAAGGCCCCTAGTCCCAATCTATGGGAAAACCAGATGACGCCAAGTCTATAACAACTTTGCCAGGATTTTCCCAGATGTATCTGTAGAGTAAAATATATAGATCTAGGTTACAATATAATTAAGGACTTTGAGGTCACGTATAATCAATGTCACGCTTTTTTATAACCACCCCCCCCCCCTCCGCGATGTTTATTGTCACAAAATCCTACTCTCTACTTTTCTTAAAGTACGTCACACACAAGCAAGCTGCTAAAAATTATTTTCTAACATAGCTATTTAAAATCAGAAGTGTGTCTTAACACCTTCTGAACCCACCCACCCCCTCCCTTCAACATCGTCACGAAAGTTGATACCCCTCGCACCTACGAGTGTGATGTAGCTTATAGACTACCTTTTTACCGTTATGATACCAGGTACCTTTTTCGCGTGTCGTTAGCTGTTTCTGATTTAGTGTCGTCCAAACCAGTGTTTCTTCCAGACTTTTTTCTCCGGGGGGCACTTGAAATCTTCGGGGGGGGGGGGGGGGGGCGGACACTGTTAAAAGTATATATTTTCTATATAAATTATATAAATTTCATTTCGTTCGGGGGGGGGGGGGGGGCGGTAAATATTTTTCGAGGGGGCTTTGCCCCCCCCCCCCCCCCCCCCCCCCCCGAAGAGATGCCTGGAAGAAACTCTGGTCCAAACATAGTGTCACACACCCGTGACGAACTTCTGGCTTTAGTAGTATCATTTGTAGCGTGAGGTCATTTTTTTGTTTGTTTTTTTAAGCAGTTACGCATTATTTGTTAATGTCAATACACAGTTATCGTTAATTACTGGTGATTATTCCCCTTTATAGGAAACATCTCTTTTTTTTGTTGGGGGGGGGGGGGGGGGGGATTTGTTAATTTAAAAAGTATTGTGGTTTGGGGGGGGGGGGGTGGGGAGATAAGAGGAACTGAATTGTGTCCGCCTTTTTGTGACCCGGAGGGAGATAGGGGTAGGGAGAGAAGTTAAAATAGGTCAAAGAACGAGGTCATTAATGACGTCCCCCCGTCCGTCCCCCCCCCCCCCCCCCCCCCTTATCAACATTTCTAAAGTCCATTGTTAAGAGCTATATTGAGGTCTTTGCTTAAAAATTTTTTGACATCAAAATAAAAAAAAAGTCCGCATTGTGCCATATGACGGGAAAATACTGCAAATTGCTTAAACAAAGCTAATTAATTAATAAATCTCTGCCTACGTGTATTTATGTTTTCTAAGATAGTTCTCCACAGCTGGTTTGATTTTAGGGACGCCATCTTTGCTATGGAGACCTCTCCCCGTTATGATTGATATGAACTGCGTGGCTGCGTCTTTCTTGGCGTTGAATTCTGGGAATAGATTAGGTTTAGGTTTGTGTATAGACACTTAGAGTAGATAGCGTTAAGTTTTGTAGGTACTAAAACTACATTGGAATTTAATACTTGGAATAGATTAGGTTTAGGTTTCTGTTTGGGAGATAAAATGAGAAAGAGATTTATGAGCGACTAATCCTTTTATGAAATAAACAGAGACGTAGCGACGGGGGGGGGGGGGGGGGGGGGGGGGCAAGGGGTGCGGACCGCACCGGGTGACACCATTTAGGGGGGTGACACCAAGGCAAAAAATAGCAAAATATATAGAGAAAAACTTGAGGCGGGTGCAAATCGAAAGTTTGAGGGGGGGGGGGTGCAAATCGAAAATTTATTTATTTTAGAGAAGTATTTGTCCATTTAAAAGCCCATTATTTTTTATGTTTTATTTTGAATTCTGCTTTTATTTTCTCATTTTTAGTAATTCGTTTTAGATAAAAGTTGACTCCTCGCAAGCTAAGATAAAAATTTTTTGCTTAAAAAAACCGATTACTAGATCTAGCTCGCGATCTGTTTAAGACAAATTATTGAATATAATAATCTTTATAACAAAATACTTTATATTAATTACTAATCAAACAAACCAACACCAGTGTTTCTTCCAGACTTTTTTCTCCGGGGGGGGGGGGGGGCGGTTGAAATTTTCGGGGGGGGGCGGTATACTTTCTTCGGGGGGGGGGGGGGCGGACACTGTTAAAAGTATATATTTTCTATATAAATTATATAAATTTCATTTCGTTCGGAGGGGGGGCGGTAAAAAATTTTCGGGGGGGGCTTCGCCCCCTCGAAGAGATGCCTGGAAGAAACTCTGACCAACACGCAAACATACCAGATTTGCAAAGTTGGAGAAAAGACAAAAATGCGCGCATGGCCTCCCGTAGAAACATGCCGTGTAAATCAAGTGTACGCTGGCTATCTCTGGAAAGTATGTTTTCAAAAGTCAATATTTACAAATTATATGATTGGTTCAAAAATAATAAACAGAAAAATTATACCCCTCCCCCCCAAAAAAATAAAAAATAAATAAAAACAATAAAATTGTGATTAGTTTTGAAATGTTCGAGTCTCGTTTATTGTTAGTAAAAGTGATGTAATTGTTATCATTGGTTTCTCCGCAGCCTGCGTTTTTGTAACTCATCTTTTCACGAAAACGTAAACAGAAAAAAAAAATTACAATTTATATAGAAAATATCTACTTTAGCAAGTGTCCGCCTCCACCCCTGCTATAGGAAATATTTAAGTGCGTAGCCTACCACCTTTTCAAAAAATCTTCAATCACCCCCCCCCCCCTCTTAAAGAAAAATGAAAGAAACACTTTTCATAGACCAATCAACTTTTATCGTCTTAATTGACCAAAACAAGGGCTATCCAAGAAGCAGGAATCATCAAACGGGGAGATAACGCTAGTTGCTGTTATAAAAGATAACTCCGTGTCGACATTTGTTTGTATGAAGGGTGTCGTCGGATTAAGGGAGGGTACAAACAGTCGCGTCACATGGAGCAGGTGAAGTAGAGCTCTTCTGTTTTAATGAACCCTGCACGCAGGGGGAGAGCGTGGTCAACTGGTTGGACTCTGGAGCCCGAGATCCGAACTCGAAACTTTCGGATTAGCAGTTGTAGGCTCTACCGCCCGACTCGTTAGGAGCGCCAATGTTTGCGCGATGTTTCACGCATTGTACTTAGACTTTTAATTTATATACAGCAAATTTATTTAAATAAAACCTACACTTTGTACACAGTATTAGCAAGCCTCGGTTCGGATTTCGATCGTTTGGGAACTTCCGCTGTTCGCTTGAGTTGTCGTCCCCTGTTTTCTGTCGGCTGCTCTCGCTGCTGGTGAACTATGGGGTTAAAAATCGGAAATTCCCAGTTCCTGTAGTGCCCCGCATTACTCCCTGTTTCATACTCCGCCCATTGCTGGAAACGAGGCTGCTGTTGGGGGGATGGCAGACTCCCATTTTCAACAACTGCAACGTTACTGGCATCTGGTCGTTTGTTGGTCTAAAAGCAAATAGAACGAAGGATATATATATATATATATATATATATATATATATATATATATATATATATATATATATATATATATATATATATATATATATATATATTGATTAACGTGTTTTATTTAGAGCGCTCAAGAGATATTTGTCTTCAAATGTTTTGCGAGTTGGCTAGATTTTGTATGTATGAAATTGTAGGAATCTTTCAAACATAGGCCTATATAAAACCTGTAATATGGTAATCTATTATTATATGAACTAAATATTTGTATACATTGATCAGTTTGGCTTACCTTGTATTTTTTATATTTTCTGATACACTGAAAATAAGAAAAAATGTTTGTTATGTCCAAATTAAAATGTTTTTTCGCGCTGATTTTAAAGAAGCTTTCAAAAGATAACGATATATAAATTTTAATATATCGTATATGAAAATAATCAGAAGTTGAACAAATAATGTTTCGACCGTAAGTCTTCATCAGTAAACAGCACTCAAGTCAAAGTGTAAAGACTCACTTAAAATTCTTGAATTCGTGGGTTTATGAAGTAAAAACACGCATATACGAGTATACTTATAGGTCTACCTACTATTAACCATAAAAATGGTTGTGCAATTAAAATAATTACAATTACGAACAGTAAACGCACAGGTCATGGGAAAGGGGGGAGGGAGGTTTGACGGCATGGGGTGACACCATTCGATGGGGGTAACACCAAAATGAAAAATCTCTAATTTAACAAACAAAAATTGCTTTGTGCGTTTAGATTTTAAAAATTGTAAATACAACTCTATTCACTACCCGACTATGGAGGGGGTGTCACCTCGAGTTAGTGGATGACACTCGACCTAGAGACGCCACAGAGTACAAATCCCCAACAAAGGGTTCTGAGGTCAAGATTGGATGCTGGTTATTATTTGTAGAAAGGCTTTGGTTTTTCAGATAAGGGCTGTAATATTTACATCCTGTCGGTGCGAAATTTATGATTGTCCCGATAATAGCCATAAAAACAACAAATGAGCTGTGTAGTGTGGTGAGAACTGGTAGTCTACTAAAAGATGTTCAGAGTTTCACCAAATCTTTGAGAAAACCATCAATAGAAACTACACATGGGCGTGTGACATAACTATAGGCTTACCTCCCCTCACAAGCTTTTCCTCTTTCCTATAAGGCTTACATATGTAAACAAAACTAGACAGCAAACTTTAGACTTTGTATTGATAAAACAGTTTAACATGGGCACCGATGTGTCGTTAGATTGGATACCTCCAAAGGGTCTGCACAAAGGACGTCACATAGGCCTACATGTGGGGGTGGTGTGGGGGTGTGTGTGGGGGGGGGGGGTTGTCCAGATTTCTGACGCTTAGTTACACAATGGAGGGTGATGAATGGTGGTTAAAAAAAAGTCATAGTGTAGTTCAAGTATTTCTTAAATAGAAAATAATTAAAAACGATTAGATTTTTTTTTAAAAAGCAACTGAAAATACTGGTTGATTTAGGATTGGGGTTTTGGAGAAAGGTGGAAGGGGGGGGGGGGGGAAGAGGCAAGTTGGCTTAAACTAGTGTGAGCTCATTTATGGACATCCCCGCCATGATAACCTAAACTTAAATCTTTTAATTAACGCCGGCATTTTGTTATTTTTTCTAGGTAGCTAAAACCAAGTTAAATTTTTTTGTCTCAAGTCTTTTAAGAAAAACGTATATAATCTAAACTTACGAGATAGACGGCGAGTATAACGAGTAAAGCCGCAGGTATGGTCGCTCCAAGGACGATGTAAATCACATAATCCTCCATTGTCAGATCCACGATACAATCTACTGCCTCACTAGTGTAGGCAGATTACGTGTGCTGTTTTTTTTTTTTTTTTTTTTTTTTTGTGGGTACTGTTTGATAGGACTTGAATACAGCTGCTTATCTGGACTGGAGTCCGTTGAAAGGGGGGGGGGGGGCGACGACCTGATAGCGAAGGCGGAATTAGTTGCAGTGAGTTATATAAATGGGAGGGGTAGACCTTTCGTCGCTGCAATCCGTGGTGTAGGCAATGCTATAAAAATCAAAGAACATACATTTTATAAAAGTTTGTAAAAAGTAAAGTTTTAAAAAAAAAAATTCATTTTCGTGGATAAGATTTCTGCTTTTGGTTCTTCTTCTTAACGCCCACGTAAGCCCGGCAGCCCTTGCCTCTTTTACTGTTCTTCTCAGGGGGTTCTAGTCTAGCGCTTTCTATACTCATCCCTTCTCAGGGCATGCCTTATCCATTCGCATTTGCGAGCCTTAACGTCTCTGTCTATTGGCTGTTGTTTTGTGATTTGCCACATGTCCTTATTTGACATTTTGTCTGGCTATCTTATATGAGGATCTCTCGTAAACATCTGTTTGTGAACGACTGTAGCCTGTCTATATTTGTCGTGTGGTGTGTGAAGAAGGTTTTTCTCTGTGGTGTGTGGGAAGGATTTTCTGTGTGGGGGAAGGGTTTTCTCTGTGGTGAGTGGGGGAAGGGTTTCTGTGTGGTGAGTGGGGGAAGGGTTTTCTCTGTGGTGAGTGGGTGAAGGGTTTTCTGTGTGGGGGAAGGGTTTTCTCTGTGGTGAGTAGGGGAAGGGTTTCTGTGTGGTGAGTGGGGGAAGGGTTTCTGTGTGGTTTTCTATTTGGTGGTTGGAAGAAGGGTTTTCTGTATGGTGTGTGGGATAAGAGTTTTCTGTGTGGTGGGTGGGGGAAGGGTTATCAGCGTGGGGGAGGGGTTTTCTGTGTGGTGAGTGGGGGGAGGGTTTTCTGTGTGGTAAGTGGTAGAAGAGTTTTCTGTGTGCGAGAAGATGTGTATCTGAATTGTATATGAAGAGGGAGGTATTTGTGTCGTGAGAGGAGGGTTCCTATATTTGTAGCTAGTGGAGGGCTTCTATGTGTGGTGAATGGAAGGTCCTATATTTTGTGTGTGGGGTTGGGGTCTATGTGCTGTGTGTAGAGGGTGGTCTGTGTATTCTGTGTAGAGGGAAGGATGTGTTGTGTGCAGTAGTGGATTATCTGTGTCCAAGAGACCCGGACAATTGTCATTGTGCATTTTTTTTTCTCAATCAAAGCCTGAACTTAACGCCGTGATATGAAGAATGTAAATGGGAAAAAAAAAATGTTGAAAAAATCAAATTAAATACAACACTTTTTTCTTGGGGGCCCCACAAAGATTTTTTATTGGGGGTCTATCGGGATTTTACCGTGTGTGAATGGGGTTTGTGTGTTCTGGTTGGAGACTGGTCCTCTATGGATGAAGATACCATGAATAAGAGATATGCTTAATATGTGGTAAGTGTGGTACCAATTTTTTGTGGCTGGGGTAAATAGTGAAGGGATAATCCTTCAGATTATAACTGGGATAACCTCACGGGTTTATTCAACAACGTCTGATCCACTGAGCCTTGTTTTTATTTCAAGCACACGTAACTAGTGTGCTGACAAGATAAGGTAATACATGGAACCAGCTTGATAAGAAAGTACTGGCACCAATTGAGCTTGTGTAGACCAGACTTACTGGTTAGAGATTTCACGTAAACAACCCTTCACAACAAACCAATCAAACGCTGAGACAGCACAACGCCAACTTGATAATATTTGATCTAAAAATTGTTTAGATTCACCCCCCCCCCCCTCCCCATAAATTTAAACTGTAACGTGGCCAATATACACTGACGACAGCCGCTATGTAGATCTAGACTATTCAGTAGACAAATTCACTAAGAACCGTAACTCACCCATTACAACAGGAACCGTAACTCCTGAATCACAAACATGGTCCTAGTTGCCCATTCAAAACAAGAACCGTAACTCTGGGTTTTATTTCATAAGCAGACAAGTACCCTACTGTAGTGCATCTATTCCGTGTTATAAAGTAAACATTTTTTTCTCATAATAATTAATCCGTAAATTAACTGACATTCAAAACAACTGTTATCCAACTATGTAATTGTCAATACTTTAAACAAAACCCACATATAAATGTTATTATTATTTGTAAAATTTCTGTTTGTAACACATTTTAAACAACAAGCAACTCAATTTTTATATTGATTTTATTTTGTTATTGAAGGAAAATACCTTGATACCATGTAATACTCTTTTTATTGAGACATTAAAAAAAAACTGATGTAAAAAGTCAATCAAGTTAGCAAGAAAGTAAAAAAAACATGACTATTTATTATCACAGAAAAAATGATTTCGTTAAAACAAAGTACAATTTTTAAAAATCCAAATTTAAAAAAAAAAGATTACAACACAGATGCAAGAATTAAATAAGTCTATAATCTAAATTATAATTGGTGGATTGTTAGTTATGATCTTCGTTTAAAAATTTGATGGATTATGGGGGAAGTTAAGGCAGATGATAGAGATTTCATCTCTTTGTGTGCAGATAATTTAAAGAGATAGTGAGGCTTATACAATACAGTGTGGAGATATAAGGTTCCTGACTTAAGCTGGTATCTTTAAGAGTTGGGTGGACTCAGTAATGTAAGGTACCCATCAGAGCTGGTTGGACCCAGTAATGTAAGGTACCCATCAGAGCTTGTTGGACTCAGTAATGTAAGGTACCCATCAGAGCTGGTTGGACCCAGTAATGTAAGGTACCCATCAGAGCTTGTTGGACTCAGTAATGTAAGGTACCCATCAGAGTTGGGTGGACTCAGTAATGTAAGGTACCCATCAGAGCTAAGTGGACTCATTAATGTAAGGTACCCATTAGAGCTGGGTTGACTGAGTAATGATAGGTACCCATAAGAGCTGGGTGGACTCAGTAATGTAAGGTACCCATCAGAGCTGGGTGGACTCAGTGATGTCCCTTTGAATCTAGCTAGGAATCAAAAACTGAAAATTCCAAAATAACCATCACATAACAGTAAAAAAAAAAAGTAATAAAATTTATAGAACACACTGTGATAAAAAGAATCTGTTAAAAAACTGATCATCCATTATAAAAGAATAGAAAATACATTAGAAAATAAGAAAAAATGAGTTACATTTGAAACAAAACCTCAGATTATCTTTTCCATTAAAGTTAGCATGTAAGTAAAATAGGTTTTACAGGACAGAAAAAACATATAACAGATGTATGTAAATAGACAAGAGTGTAAATATTACAAATAGTTTTGGCTTTTAACATTGGATGCACAATACTCACACACTCATTTAGGAATGTTGAAAGAATTTACAATGACAAAAAAAAACCATTGTTTTAAAAAATACTTTAAGCAATAAAATGTAAAAAAAAAATGTCAAGAGTATTCAAGTTCCTGCAATGAAAATAAAATCTGACAAAACAGTCAATAGCATGTATCATTATGAAACATTGTCATAGGCACAAGGCGAGTTGGTGGGTGGGTGGCGGGGGGGGGGGGGGGGGGGGGGGGAAGAGAATAACACAGACAAGAAGAACAATAATGATCAGGTCATGGATGCTAAATGGGAAAAATGTCTCACATTACGTTACAGCTGTCAGAGACGGTATACTCCTGTCGTATTATGTTTAAAATTTCAAAACTGTCAATGTTAAGAAAACAAATATATATATATATATAATTATATAGTATTTTTATATAGTGGGCCCTATATATAGTTTTATATAAATATGCATTTATTTATATAAATATGTATTCATATAAAAACATAAATATATTTATTATAGACTTATAGATATATATAAATATATATAATGTGATAAATAACTGCCTATGACTCTGCTAAAAATATAAATACTGCGGTATATTGTTGAAGGCACTTTTTGCTGTAAGTTTAACATTATTGTGCCACACAAAGCAGATTCATTTAATTATAACAATATATTATTGACAAGATGAAAGACACAAGTAAAACAGAAACAAAGAGTCGAATCAGCTAAAACAGGACTTTGAGTATGTAAGGCATTTAAAAAAAAATTTAAAAAATTCTTGTTTACCAGGGGACATAACTTTAAATAAGAATTATATTTTTATCAAAATTAATTTCTCATGGTTGTTTAGTTTCTTTTCAACACTTCGTTTAAAAACTTTAACATTAAAAAGACACTAGTAAATAATAACTAAAATTTATGGATAGAGGATTTTTTTTACTATCAAATATCTGACTCTTACAATAAATAGCTGGTGGGGAATGTTGTGTAATCAAGTAAAAAAATATTTATAGATTTTATGCTGCTTTAGGTAGGGGGAATGATTCTACACCAACAAAAATGTATTGATGTGTAAGATATTGTAAAAAGCAAACTTACTGAGAGATTATTCCTGAATGAGAAAATACTGTAAACATTTTTCAAATTAGATCTAAATCCCAGCAAATATTTCTAATACTACAGTAAGATGTATTTAATAATAAACATTTATAAATAAACAATTTTACACAAACAAAACATAATCAGTGAAGTAAAATAAAATTTTACAATAGAGAAATCTTAATTTGTTTTGTATGCTTTCATTATGAAACAATAATTTAAAAAATATAATCTCATAAAAATTACTTTAATAGTTTTGAAAAAAAAAATGTTTTGAGTACTTAATACTTAATGATTTCATAAGTTTTCTTTTGGAAACATATTGTAGTTTATTTCTTCTTTGAGAAATCTAACTTTACCATTCCTGGGTTGACCCACGTAAAACTGAAACATAATTCAGAAAGTTTGTTATTATGGAACAACCCTTACAATTAGCATAATTATTTATTAATGTCTAAAAATTATGTAATAAAAATTATTGCAAATAACAACTACAGTGACGGAAATATTTTGGAATGATATATTTGGAAATAATAATTTTAGGGATATTTTTGAGAAAGATATACTAGTGAGTGAATCTTTTAGTGATTATTAATATATTTTGGAATGGTATTTTTGGAAGGAATACTTTTAGTAATGTACAGATTGGGAGTGATTCTTATACAGTGATGAATACTTTACAACATAGCCTAGGCTTTTGTCCTTATTTTCCAGGATTTAACTTTAGCAACTACATAGAAACAATCAGGTCAAAAACTGTAACTTTCATTTAATGTTAACTCCTTCAAGCAATATTTCCCTAATATTACTAAAATGTAATTTGACATAACAGAATAAACACTCAGTTACAGTGCTTGGATATGAAGTTCTCCCCAAAAGCCAAAGTCATAATTCATTGCCTTATTTAGAGATACCGTCAGATGTGTATGTTTGTTAGACAAATCAAGACCAATATTGCAAATTGTAAGCATGTAGCTAGTAGTGTAAAAATCTGACATTATTACTTCATCTATTTTTGTACAGGTCAGTCAATGTAAAAACTATGACATATAACCTACAAGAGATTCAGAATCTTTTACAATAACTAATTCAGCCAGTTACACTTAACAATTCAGTTCTGTTACATGAACATGACACCCATGAAAAACCCATTAAACATGACACAAATAAAAAGCAACCCTTGAAATTGACACCAATCAGATGACACCCATAAACATGAAACCCATGAAGATGATACCCATGAAAATGACACAAGAAGATGACATTCAAGAATATGACACCCATAAAGATGACACCCTTGAAGATGACACACATAATGATGACACACATAAAGATGACACCCATGAACATCACACACATAAAGATTACAACCATGAAAATGACACAAAAAGCAACCCATGAACCTACCAGAGACTGTGTTTGTCCAGATAGTCTTGTACCGCTGGTTTTATTTTAGGGACGCCATCAGGGCTGTGTTTCCCTCTCCCCGTGATGACAAACACAACATTGTTGGTTTTGGAGAGGTTGTATTCTACAGCAGGGAGATAAGTGATGTTAGAGTGTGTTAAAGGTTAAAGGTTGTATTCTACAGCAGGGAGATAAGTTATGCTACAGTGTGTTAAAGGTTGTATTCTACAGCAGGTAGACAACTTATGTTAGAGTGTGTTAAAGGTTGAAGTCTACATCAGGGAGATAAGTTATGCTACAGTGTGTTAAAGGTTGTATTCTACAGCAGGGAGTAAGTTATGCTACAGTGTGTTAAAGGTTGTATTCTACAGCAGGGAGATAAGTTATGCTACAGTGTGTTAAAGGTTAAAGGTCGTATTTTAAAACAGACAATAAGTTTTGCTACAGTGTATTAGATGGTGTATTCTAAAACAAATAGAAAGATCTATTACTTGTTATTTCATATCTAAAGATGATAACTAAAAACAATTTTAATTATAAATAATCAAAACGCAGATTATTGTAAGGATGTCTTCATCATCTTCTCCTGTTTGTGCCCAAGAGACATTGGGCAGATGAAGTAGAGTTCATCTGGTTTCAGGGACCTCTGCATATATAGGGATGGTGACGTCAGCACTTTGCCCAGCCGCCTTTACTTTCCCTAGAGTGAGTTAGGTACCCATCAGAGCTGGGTGGACTCAGGATTGTTTCACTGACTTGAAACCCAGATTTGGGTTAGCAGTCTAGCGCTCTGCCGCTAAGCCATGTCACCCCATAGCTTTCTAGAGTATTAAAATCTTAAAAACTAAATAAAACAGTTTCAGTACTTTATGAAAATAAAATTGTTGTTGTTTAAGACACATCCCTAAAGTCACTAATTAACTTTAAAATATGATAAATGAATATTGTTAAGATAAACTCAATGGGCTTGATGCTTAATCTCAAACAAGCCAAAAATATAGATATTACCATATTCTTTTTGCTGCAGGAATTTCAAAAAAGCTTGCATGGCCTCTTTGACTGTAAACTGATGTAGATCCAATGTATCATTCAGACTCTGTGTGCTAAAAAAATTATATAAGTTAATTTCAAAAGACCAGATAGATCCATAAAACAATGCTGCTTGCATTACTTACTTGTTAAAAATTTCTCACAATAAATTCAAACTAGGTTTTAAGAATTTAAACTTTTAGTTTATCTACAGCAATGTTTAGTTTACACTATAACAACGTTAGAATTTACTATATATTTTATGTACGTAGGGCCTATATTGAACATATGAAATCATCTACATATATAATTCTCTTCTGGGAGACACTAGAAAACAAGCTGTAAACGCGCTCCCTACCATCCCCACCCCTACATGGTCTTAGTGAGCTGTGGTTCATCCTATGTTTACCTTTGTGGAGTCGGGTTTAGTGACGGCTATTAGGGGCAGATAATTTAGTTTGAAACGATTTTAAACGTTGGGGGGGGGGGGGGGGGAAAGGAAGGGGGGGGGGGGGTTATGGTCCTTAACGAGCTACTTATAGTGTTTTAAAGAAATATTTTCAGTGTCAGCGTACTGTCGAATTCACAAATTATGAAGTACTGAAAAGTAGAAAAAACAACAACTAAATAGCGGCGTATGTTATGCCACGGGCCGGCTCGTAATACTATAATTTTCTTCTAAACCTTTAGGATTAAACTGACTACAATGAAATCTAATCAGATACAAAGTGATCCATTCTAGCACTCAGGGTGAACTATCAACTTTCTACCTTTCCCATCCCACATTTATATTTAGATATTCCTGCTGGGGAAAAAAAGCGCCCTGCCCACATTTTTAAAGTTCAGGAACAATTTTTACCAGTCACCGCCCCTTAACAGTTTTTATTTTGGTGTCACACTATTGATGTAGAAAACAATGAAGTAAGTCTGTAAAGCCAAGTTATTGTCTATTTTCTAAATTTTGGCAGTGTATAATTTAGTAATGCAGCTCACACTGAGCTATTTTTTTTCTAACCCATTTGACCCCAACCCTCCACCAACAGCTAAGCCTCTTGAAACAAGCCCCTGCTTGGGCCACGTGTTTTGCTGAGTTTAGCAATGATTTCAAGTATAACTTCTAGATAGGGGTCGGCGTGGTCGAGTCGGTAAAGCTCATGGTTGCTAAACCGAAAAGTCTCGAGTTCGAACCCTCGGGCAGATGAGGCTCGTTAGCTGGGGGACAGCCACTCTTCTAGGAGAGACAACTCCAAAATCAAACAACTGCCGTCTTGTAGTTTGTTCTTGGTTGGACAAAGGCTATGGGAGCAAATCCAAAAAGAAAAGCAGGCTGAAATCGGAGTCAATGGCCTCAATGGCGCATAACCAGTTGACACGTAACGCTTAATTGTGTTGGAGGCGTGGTCGAGTCGGCAAAAAGCTCATGGTTGATAAATTCGAACAAAGTCTCTAGTTCAAAACTCACTGGCAGATAAATCTCGATCACCTTCAACACTAATAATTAAGAACGAAGAAGAAGAAGAAGACAAAGGCTATGGGAGCAAATTCAAAAAGAAAAGCAGGCTGAAATTGGAGTCAATGGCCTCAATGGCGCATAACCAGTTGACACGTATCCTTAATTGTGATGGAGGCGTGGTCGAGTCGGCAAAAGCACATGGTTGATAAATTCGAAAAAAAGTCTCGAATTCAAACCCTCTGGCAGATAAGGCTCGATTACTTCCAACACTAAAAATTAAGAACGAAGAAGTATAACTTCTAGATGAAAACGATATGTGCTAAATGAATCGGAAAAAGACAACAAACAGCATTTTCTTCAGTAAATTTTGCATTTTCGTAACCAACGGTTCACCTCTATCTGATTTAACTGCATGTATGTGTAAAGGCAATGAATTAAAGTTAAAATGACTAAACTAACACATGCATAAAAAACTAAAATTGGGTGTGGCGAAATATGCCCTTGTGGCAAGGCCCCGGAAAATACGGAGCACATCCTTCCGGAATGTTCTTTATATAGCCAGGCACGAGTCAGACACTGGCCCCTGCTCACCCCACTCAGGGAAAAGTTATATGGGGCACCTGCTGATCTGGAGACCACAGTCCAGTTCATTCACGAAGTAGTCTTGTTGTCTAAATCCTCCACCATATTCTCAATTAAGAACGAAGAAGAAAAAGAAGAAAGACTAAACTAAGTATTATTTTTGAATATCTATTAATACAAGACCTTTTATAGTGCTGAATACCACTTTCAAGCTGTGTGTCTTGCCATTGAGTGTAACCCTGCTAAAGAAAAATCAAAGAAAAGAATTCAGATTAGTTTTTAAAATACAGATTGCTTATTGTGTGAACTAATTACAAATAGTTTTAATATTAAAATACATATCAACTCAAATTTTTAAACAGCATTCTAATGATGAATAAGGTAGGCCTAGGTTTTTTTTAAAAGTAACGATTTTTAACAATCGTAAATCTTTCATGATCTTCAAAGAAATGGTATAAGCAGTATTGTTATGTTTTCAAAATGTTTTCAAATGTTATTTAAACTAAACCATTCATGGCATTATTATAATAACTCTAGTTGCATTGTCATACGCACAGAAATAGGCCTACATGTGGTACTAGTATAGCCAAAAACAATTAATAGAGCAAACATACTTGATTTTTCTTTTTGCAGCAACAGCAATACTGGGGAGAAAACAGAATTCAGATGTTGAATTTATAATGTACAAAAACATTTAAGTTAGTTAATTAGTTATTAATGTAGCTTAAGAGATAGATCTAAATAAAAGTATATATAAATCCAGTGGGCGTATCCAATGCCATAATGTGATAACTTCAAAATAAAATATTAATCAATAAAAGGTATTACTATTAGAATCTAGTCCTAGGACTAGATCTATCTAATTCTATGATAAAGTGGAGGGGAAAGGTAAAAATTATAGGCCTATATATAGGCCTATATCTATAATATAACATCAGTTGTCCACTATGCAGTTCTTTTACATTGCATCGCATTGTCTTATTATAAGTAATAGAGTAGGGTTTGTTTATATAACGACTTAAATTTATTGTATAGTTGCAAATTTTGACACTTTCAAATAACGTAAAGAAAATATTAAATAAACGCACATTTCTAAAACATATTAAACATATCAATGTCAAATATCATTTTCGTTTAGATTACTAGAAAAAAAAAGATACATTTTCATAACAGTAGGGTAAAAAAAACTAATTAATTAAAATCTTTCAATAGTTAAGCCAGGGGAGGTAATTTAAAAACAAAATTCAAGTTTCGCTAATAAAAAAACATGTGAATGCAAAATCTGCGGATGTCCAAAAGGGAATTATTGTTGGAATAATAAAATTAGCAAAATGTGAATGCAAATTCTGCAGACGTGTAAGATTACATTATTGTTGGAATATTATAATTAGCATGTATTGATAAAAGGCAATCTTTTATTTATTTTATTAACTGAACGTACAGTTTACTAATTATAACTTTTAATCAACTATTCCGCACTATTATACACACGTCATCACGTTCAAATTTGAGCAATGGTTTTAGTCATGCAACTCTATTGTGCATTTTTAAAATTAAAAGTACTGAAAAAAAATTTCATAAAAAACGTTATGTGAATGCATGGATTGATAATGTGCAATATGGTAGGTAAAACACAGATATTTTAAATACTGCCTTTTATTTATTTTATACTAATTATTATTTCTATCTTTCATTTTGCTGACAAGCTGGGGGTTTTATATTCGTTCACTAAATTGAATCAGGCGCAATTTGGCGCCACTAGCTAGACTGTGAGCACTATGCGTTTATGTTTGCATTTAAGTTGTGTTTATGATATGTGTGTTGTGTTTGGTTTTTGTTTGCATTTGTGTTTGTGTTTTCATTTGTGTTTGTGTTTTCTTTTGTGTTTGTGTTGTATTTTCTTTTGTGTTTGTGTTGTGTTTAGTTTTGTTCCCAAGTTGGTACTACATTTAAAAAAAGATTTACGGAGGCAGAGCACGGGTATGCAGCTAGTATATATATATATATATATTCATATATATATATATATATATATATATATATATATATATATATATATATATATATATATATATATATATATATATATATATACATATATAAATACAGTAGGACCATAAGGACCACATTACAATATAAATTTATTTTTAGGCGAGCGGGGGACATATGTCCCTGGGCGCCGACCTTAGGTGCCAAAATGGGTTGGAAAAACAAATTAAAAGTTTGAGGGGGGTGTGTAAATCAAAAGTTTAGGGGGGGGGGGGTGCAAATTGAAAGTTTGAGGGGGGGGGGGTGCAAATCAAAAGTTTGTCCCTGGGCGCCGGGAAGGGTCGCTACGCCTCTGCCACCAGTGTAGTTAGTTTTTAGTAAAAACTTTTTACAGACTAGGTAATGAGGTAGATCTATTAATAATTAGTGTAGTGTGGTTGTAGGCCCTAGACTAGAGTGTCTCAGTGTAGACAAGTATCAAGTAGTAGTAGTAGGCCTAAATAATAAATATCTACTGTACTGGGTAGCTCAGCTCGTTGGTAGAGTAGTTTACAAGATTAGTTAGTAAATAAATTTTTAAATAAATAAATATATATAGGCCTAATTATATTGATTAGGTAGGCTAGTGTTAGATCTAGTATTATTTTTAGGCCTATAATTTTACCACTAATATCCATCCCAGCACAGCAGTAAACAATATTGCAACTACTGCAATAATAATTGCGGCGTAATTCTCCATGGTTTCTGACACACAACTAGTCAAATCAGTTGAAATAGGTGGTCGTACTCTAGACAATAAATAATATTAGTAAGAAATAGATCTATATTTAAATCTAGGTCATGGAGTTAGGTAGATGTAAATTACGAAAAACAAAAGAGAAAAAAATATTTGCAAGTGCAAGACAGGCGCAAAATTAATGAATTACATGTATGAACCGAGGCCTAATAATTATATTTTCATATTATGGGGAGTCTATAATTAGATCTATATCATTATATTATTATAAATTATATTCATATTCAGTAACGGTACACTAGAATGTGGGGGGGGGGGGGGTTAACCAGATGACAATTTATTTTTTAATCATGACACCAAGGGGAACATGTGATAAAACAATATATTCTCAAGTTGAATCAGTAGTTAAATAAATGTCCAAATAAGTCCATTTTTTGGCAAAATCAACACAGTCTAGCCTGCTGAAACGGGGAATATAACTTAAGGAGTGGTTGGTCAGCTAAGACTAAAGAGTAGGCCTAGGCCTATACAATTTTGGGGGGGGGGTGTGGGGTCTGATTTTTTGTGACATTAGTTATGGGGACAGGGAAGAATGTACAAATCGGAAAAAAAAGCAAGCGTGACTTGATGTATGGTAGGCTCCAAATCGATGTATTCATATTTACACAATTCGATGTCGATAATTTAATTAGGGTTGTCCTCAAGGGGACATCACTGTGTTAAGATACAAGTTAGGTAAAATTCTTGGATTACTGGCCCTAATTTTTATATCTTAATTACTTTTCGTATATACGAAGTATAGAGAAAGTATTGTAATCGTGCAAAAAAAAATAAAAAAAAAAAAGAAAAAAAAAATCGAGATTTTTACAAATCTCGACGTTTTACCCTCACTGATACGGAAAAACATAATTTTACAATCTTCTCCGTATGTCTGTGTGTCTGTCTGTCAGTCTGTCAGTCTGTCAGTCTGTCAGTCTGTCTGTCTGTCTGTAAACACGATTACTTGAGTACCGTTACAGCTAGGTTGATGAAATTTCATATATATATATATATATATATATATATATATATATATATATATATATATATATATATATATGTGTGTGTGTGTGTGTGTGTGTGTGTGTATTTTATCAAAATCGTAGATCCGTATCAACTTTTGAGCGATTTCTGATAACCGGAAGTGGTACTTTTCCTACTTTGAATTTTTCAAAAGCCTATAACTTGAGTACTATTTCAGATAGATAAATGAAATTTCACACGTAAGTAAAAGATCTAACTTTCTACCTTCTGTCAAATTTTGAGTAATTTCTGTTGACCGGAAGTACTAATTTACGCTATTTCCGATTCCTCAAAAAACGCATGTAAATTTAGAAAGTACTGATAATATTGCGCACTATTATGCACATTTTGTTTTGGCGTTCGCTTGGTGCGCAATTCTTTTTTCTATGAGATTCTATTCTATTTTTAAAAGTTTAAGTAATTAAAAATCATGTCTATATTCCAAGTTATATAAGAATATTCGAAAAAGTTTAGGGGAGATCACTCCCGGTTTATTTTTATTTGGTAAGTCTGTCAATTTAATATGAGCCAGAGATAACCCATTATGTTATGTGACATCCAGTTTCTGTGTAACGTGACAATGAGAATCATGAGACTCAAAATTGAAGTTAATTTTTACTTACTCGTGTATACGGAGTATACAGAAAGTCTTGTAATCGAGATTTTTGTAAATTTCGACGTTTTGCACCTCTCTGAGTCGGAAACACATAATTTTGCAATCTTGTCCGTATGTCTGTGTGTCTGTGTGTGTGGGGGGGGGGGGGGGGGGAGTGTGGTGGGTGTGTGTGTGTAAACACGATACCAGCCCTATTGTGTAACGCCAAAACAAATACCTTCAAGAGTCAGCGACCGGTAAAACCCCCTCACCAACATTTTGACACAAAGGTAGTCATTATTGAAAAATTGCACACCATGCTGCGCACTACGACATTCAGGATTAAAATATAGGCACACATATAGCTTGTTTCCATTTTTAATCGAAACTTTGGAAGCATGCGCGCCATAATATTGTGCGTATAGTAAATTGAACCGCATAACATCTGTCAAGTAAATACTAATAACTTTATTAATTTCATTATCTTAAGTTATTTTTGTGATTTAAAAATGATTTTTAGGCTAACATGTACTGACATTATTTCTCAAACTATCAGTAAGAAGAGTAAGTTTTTGTCTCTAATTTATTGGTACAAAAAATCTTATGGGAAAATATTTTAGGAAGTTTCTCCCTTAGAACTTGCTCGAATATAGCCATCTATATTGAATTTTATAAGGATTTCAAGGTTTTCCTAAATAGAGCAATGTTTTTTACATTATCCCCCTCCCCCCCCCCCCCCATTTGCATTAATACTAATAGTTTCGCTGTCTGTGTATCTGACAAGAACGCTCTGTCTGACAAGAACGCTCTAGAGAAAACACAAGCAATTTAAAAACATGCACAGTAATTCGAAAAACGAAATATGACGTCGACACATTTAGCGCACAGAGTAGAAAATAATCTCAAACCCAGAGAGTGCTCAAAGTTATATGACGTCATTGATTTTCGCGTTAACATTGAATAAAAAGGAAATGTTGTCTAATCTTAATGGTTTGCGTGAAGAGTTTCTTGCATACAATTCTTCGGGTAGGGGCGAAGCCCCACCCCCCGCGTAAGAACGTCTGAGCCCCCCCCCCCCCTCGGGGAGGGGGCGGACACTGGAAAAAGTATATAATTATATTTCGTTGAATGGGACGGTAGACATGTTTTTTTTTGGGGGGGGGGGGGTGGGGGGGGTGGGGGGGTGGTGTGTGTGGGGGGTGGGGGGGTGGTGTGTGTGGGGGGTGGGGTGGTTTTAGTTTAGACTTTTTCCTCCCCAGAGAGGGGTGGGGGTACTTGAAATTTTCGGGGGCGGGGGTAGAATTTTCGGGGAAGGGGCGGACACTGGAAAAAGTATATAATTATATTTCGTTGAATGGGACGGTAGGCATGTTTTTTTTTTGGGGGGGGGGTGGAGGGGTGGGGGGGGTGGTGTGTGGGGGGGGGGGGGGCGGTGTGTGGAGGGGGTGGTGTGTGTGGGGGGTGGGGGGTGGGGGTTGGGGGTGGTGTGTGGGGTGGGGTGGGGTGGGGGTGGTGTGTGTGGGGGGGGGGGTGGGTTGGTTTTAGTTTAGAGAAAAGAGACAGCACTATCAAGCTAGCGCCCGGTGTATCCTTCCTCAACGGGCCATTTTTCTCGTTGCATAGAAGCACCAAAATAATCTGTCGCTAGTTTTTCAAGAAAATTTCCTTTCTACAAGAAGACACCGCCTCTGCTTAGCCGACGGAAACACTATTTTTTTTGATAACCCAGGGGATCGGAGTGGTCTAGCGGTAGAGAGCTGGACTGCTAACCCGTCAGTCTCGAGTTCGAATCTGGGTTCAAGTCAGTAGTTCGTCACCCAACTCTGATGAGTACCTAGCGAAAGTATAGGCTGTACATCCTAATCAGTGGGGAACTTTACTTACGTGGGTCTACTACCTCACAAAGAATAAGATACTGTTCACGATCAGTTTTTTCTCTCGATACATAGCTTATATAACTAGGTTTTTAATCTCCAACCGTGAGACTGTATAAGCATTTCCTACTTTTGTGTTACCAATTTCCATCAATAGACTTCCAAAAATAGACAAGTTAGGTTTTTTTTTTTTTTTTGCAGGATCGTTTTCCCATGTTATTATTAATGTGAGAAATTAGGAACAGTGATGTGTTGGGACTGGGCTTAGGGTTTGGGATTGGGATTGGGGGAGGGGGGCGGGTGTCGGGCATTAATGGCGTCACACTCTTAGGGGGGAAATAGGAGACCGGAGAGGGGGGGGGGGGGGGTCCTTACGTCATTTTATGACGATGTGCAATGAGGGGAAGGGAGAGGTTCGGATAGTGTGGAAAGTAATGATAGCCGATAATTCGCGTTTTTTTTTTAAAAACTGTTTTTGTAAACTGTAATATAAATTGATTAATATAGTCTTTGTCGACCGAGTGCAGTCAACATTATAGAAAGAAATCGATATTAAAAAAAAAAACAACTTCATTTTTGAATGGGGGGGGGGGTCTGTGGGGGAGATATGTGACATACTTGTTTTTTTTTTTTTGGGGGGGGGGGGGAGGTTTGGCTTTTTGTGACGATGTGTGATGAACTTAAAGGAGGGGGGGGGGGAGTAAAAATGGTTTAAAAAGCGTGACATTATTTATGGATGACACCTAGTGTCAGCTATGATATTAGCAAGATGCAGTTTTACTTTTATTAAATACGAGCCGACCCGCTGCGTATCATACGCCGCTATTTAGTTGTTGTTTTTTTCTACTTTTCAGTAATTTATAATTGGTGAATTCGACAGTATCAATGCTGCCACTGAAAATATTTGCTTAAAAACACTACCCCCCCCCCCCTCCCCCCACGTGAAAGCAGCCTTCTCTTAGTTACTTCCTCTAAGTTTAAAATCGTTTCAAACTAAATTATCTGCCCCTAATAGCCGTCACCAAACCCGTCTCTATGATTGTAAAATGTAAACAGCGTGACCACAGTTCACCAGACAATGTGGGGGTGGGGTGGGGGTGGTAGTGATAGTGATAGAGAGAAAGAGAGGGGACTGCAAGGAGGCGCCTGCAGCTTGTTTTCTAACGGCTCCCAGAAGAGAATTATATATATAGATATATAGATACTACCCGCATCCTAACACCCCCATTTCTTTAAAAGATACCATTATTTTAACATGATCAGACACATCCCCTTGATTGTAAAATCTTGTTTAGGTGTTGGAGTGTGCACAATCAGTTCTCACAAGATATCACATCATTGACTGGGCGAGGAAACCCTTTATGGCCAACAGTTGACGTGTGTGTGTGACCTACTTAGGAGCCAATCAAATGCGACATTTTTTTTACCGAGGTTTCCAAGAATTTAAACCAGCACATCTAAAAATAAAATACGCTATGCACAAGCTTTTTCTTAAAATCGGATTTAAGGATTTTCAATCGAGTGTTAAGCTTATTATCGATTGATGTCATCTAACACTGGAGTGAACTAGTGGATAACTCTAGCTTTAACTATACTATAATAACACGCCCATCTTAACACCCAGGAGCTTGTGGATAACTCTAGCTTCAACTACAGTAATACACCAACTTTAACAGCGAGGAACTATTGGATAACTCTAGCTTCAACTTGACTAACACACCCATCTCAACATTCAGGAACTAGTGCATAACTCTAGCTTCAACTTGAGTAATACGTCAATATTAACAGCGAGATAACTCTAGCCCCAACTAGAGTAACACACCCATCTTAATAGCGAGGAAGTAGTGCGTAACATAAGCCCTAACAAGGCTTACACAACAACCGTAACAGCTAGGATCTAGTGGATATATCAAGCCCCAACCTGTCTTACCCAATCTCAACAACCAGGAGTTGCGTGTCCACAAAACACGATAAGAACACACCGACTTTATTGAAGTTGGCTACATACACACTCATACAAACATCTAACTGATAAGGGACCAGAGGGAATTTAACACATCGAGGAATATTATTATGGACCAGGGCGGGGACACCTATCAACGGACACAACTTAGATACTCATGGACTAAAATTAAGAGTCACAAAGTGTAGACATCAACGGATAAAACATAGATACTCATGGACTAAAAACTAGAGTCAAAGAGAGTAGACACCCATCAACGGATAAAACATAGACACTCATGGACTAAAATCTAGAGTCGCGTAGTGTAGACATCAACGGATAAAACATAGACACTCATGGACTAAAATTAAGAGTCACAAAGTGTAGACATCAACGGATAAAACATAGACACTCATGGACTAAAATTAAGAGTCACAAAGTGTGGACATCAACGGATAAAACATAGACACTCATTGATTAACAGCTAGAATCAGAGAGAGTAGACACTAATTACCAACGGATAAAGCATAGATCTAGACACTCATGGACTTAAAACAAGAGTCTTAGAGTGTAGACAGCCATGGAAGATGATGTTCGTAATATTATAATTGGTGTTGTATGTGGAGTTGTGGTGGCAATTTTGATAATAGGGGTAAGTACGTTTTTTTTAGTTTTTAAGTGTGTATATTGACATTTATAATGTATGTGATAAGTTTGTTAACATTGACTCGACGTGTGTATATTGTGTAGTGAATTGATAGAGACTGAAATACAAAATTCTGGGGAGTACAAGACCAAAGTACACAGTGTAGCAAGATTTAAACAGTTACAATACGATGTCAACATAACTTGCTGGGGAAAGGGTGTGTGTGTGTGTGGGGGGGGGGTGAGGAGGGGTTGATGACAAAGATAAATACAGTATCGTAATGAAATTGGAAAGTGTGGGGTAGATATAGACAATGGATGCCTGGTTCGAGATTTATTTGATAGGTTCTGACGTGTTCTTGTGTTTTGTCAATGTTGGTTTCTGTATTGGCATATTGATCATGCATATCTATCTGTATTATGCTATATATATATATATATATATATATATATATATATATATATATATATATATATATATATATAAAATTGGCATATAATATATATATATATATATATATATATATATATATATATATATATATATATATATATATATATATATAATTGGCATAATATATATATATATATATATATATATATATATATATATATATATATATATATATATATATATATATATATATATTTGTTGTACTTTTATCGTCTACAGTTGATTTATTATCGCTGCAGAAAGAAAACTAAGGTGAGTTTGCTCATAACGAAATATTGTTATAGATTGTGAATTAAAAATGACCTAAGTTGACACCTTTAATTGACTTTTTTTTGTGATGGAGATGGTGGGAAGTAAAAGTTATTTAAATAAACGTGACATGTATAGACAACCCCATGTGTTTATTTTTTTCTATTGCTGTGTACAGAGAGAGGACGATGTTGAGAACCAACTAAATACCGAAACCCAACGACCGGTGTTTGGTGAAATTGTGCCTGGTGTAATCAGACATGACGTTGTGTTACATGAAGTCACCAATGAACTCAACACGCAGACGACCAGCAGACGACAAGAACAGTTAGCTGAGTTCAGGAAACTACAAGAGCAGAGTCGTCTGCGAGAGCAGGCGCGGGAGCAGGAGGCGCGTCGTCAAGCTGAGGCGAGGCAGCGTGCAGTTGAGGACCAGCTGCGGGCTCTACGGCTTCAGGAGCAGGTTCAGCAACAGCAACAGCAACAACAACAACAACACCAGTACCAACAGCAACAGCAGAGAGGACGAGCTAGACAAAGACAAAAGAAAAAGCAGAAAAAAAGAGATTATACAGCGTCAAGAAGTCCCTCCACTCACCGTGCGGGGTAAGTTTGTAAATCAGTTCAGAGGCGTCGCGAGGCGGGTGCGGGGGCGCGGACCGAACCGGGTGACACCAATTTTGAGGGGGGGGGGGAGGTGACACAAGACAAAAAAAAATGCAAAATATATAGAAGAACATTGCTTTTTACCAGTTCGATTAATGGTAAATTAGAGTTAAAAAGTCTTTTTAGTTTTAAATTGACAATCCCGACATAGGGGTGGGAATAGAAGGGGGTCACACCATGCTAACTATCGAGAAAACCATGAAATGTTGCTTTGTTTCTTTTTGAATTAAATAATGTATTCGCAAATTCTCGTGATTTGGCAAAATGGGATATATATATATATATATATATATATATATATATATATATATATATATATATATATATATATAGCCTATAATGTTTTTCAAATTTGCTGTGTGGGGGGAAGGGGGTGACACCATGAGGTGCCGCGCCGGGTGACACCCGACCTAGCGACGCCACTCCAACAGGTACATAGTTGGTTAGTGTGTAAAGTTTAGGTGTTGTGTTAAGTTTATCGGGTACACTAAATAGACCACCATCAGTGTTTGTTTTAATGGGTTAGGTTTAGGTTTTGTATTAAGAATAACCGATCGGTTACACCAGATACATAGGTAGTAAGTTTGTTCGTTAGGTTTAGGTTTCGTATTCAATTTATTTTAGCGGTTATACCAGATTCTTAGGTGGTTGGATTATTAGGTTTAGGTTTTGTGTTAAGTTTAATTTGTCGGTTACACTAGATAAGCCATCATAGGTAATTGGCTTCGTGGTTTAGGCTATGATCGTGTGTTAAGTTTAACTTATCGGTCACATTATGTGCGTAGGTAACTACCTACGTACCTGATGTAACCGATAAGTTAGGTACTGTGTTAAATTTAACACGTCGGTTACATTTGATACCTGTGTAATAAGTCGAATATTTATTTTTAACCCTCAATAGAAAAGATTAAAATTTTGTGTCACGTTGTTTTATTATAATTACTTCCCCCCCCCCCCCCCGATCACCAACATACATTCTAAAAAAAAAATTAGCTTATTATAAGGAAGCCTTCTTATCAGTGTAATGTAAGTGTCAATTAAAAAAAATGTTTGTTTATGATTGTCAGAGTACCAGGGAAGACAATAGACTTACATAATCTGTCAGTGCATGACGCCATGATGGCTGTGATCAGCTTCATAAACAACAAAGAGCAAGGTAAACAGTGTGCGCAACTGTTTATGTGTTTCAGTAAACAGTGTGTGCAACTGTTTGTGGTGTTTCAGTAAACAGTGTGTGCAACTATTTGTGGTGTTTCAGTAAACAGTGTGTGCAACTATTTGTGGTGTTTCAGTAAACAGTGTGTGCAACTGTTTGTGGTGTTTCAGTAAACAGCGTGTGCAACTATTTGTGGTGTTTCAGTAAACAGTGTGTGCAACTGTTTGTGGTGTTTCAGTAAACAGTGTACGCAACTGTTTGTGGTGTTTCAGTAAACAGTGTGTGCAACTATTTGTGGTGTTTCAGTAAACAGTGTGTGCAACTATTTGTGGTGTTTCAGTAAACAGTGTGTGCAACTGTTTGTGGTGTTTCAGTAAACAGTGTACGCAACTGTTTGTGGTGTTTCAGTAAACAGTGTGTGCAACTGTTTGTGGTGTTTCAGTAAACAGTGTACGCAACTGTTTGTGGTGTTTCAGTAAACAGTGTGTGCAACTATTTGTGGTGTTTCAGTAAACAGTGTGTGCAACTATTTGTGGTGTTTCAGTAAACAGTGTGTGCAACTATTTGTGGTATTTCGTATCTCTTGTTTCTATTGCCACTTGCGGTGTTGTTATATTAAGTTCTGGTATGTCAATATTTGTGACTTGACTTTGACTTATACCCTCTCTTCCGCTTTCCCTGGGGGTTCCACTCAAGGGCTTGGTGCGTAACATTTGGGTAAGCCTTTCTTAGCGTGTGTCCCACCCAGCGCCACTTCCTCCTTCTTATTTGCACACCTATAGGCTCCTGCCTTGCTTTCCTCCATAATTCTATGTTCGACACTAGAATTATGGAGTCTATGTTTGTGATATGATTATATCTCTTGATGTTTTAGTGTTTGCGCTATTGTTATATTATGTTCAGGTATTTCACTATTTGTGTTATTATTATATCTCCCGCTTGTATCAGTACTTGTGATATTTTTAATATACTTTCTTAAATTACTAACAGAATACAACGACAGCGAATACCGGCGCGTTGACCGGTTTCTCTACGTCATCACTGGTCGAGGGCGGCACAGCAAAGGTGGGATACCAAAGATCAAACCTGCAGTAGAAGGCTATCTGCAGAAACACGATTACACGTGAGTTATTGAATGAAAGTAGTGGGATGTGGCAGATTCGATTACATTATGATGGATTCTGATCAAAGGTATCGACTTTTGTGCTGCTTTAATGGGATGCAATATTTAGGGCTAAGAATGGTAGTCTTAGGGTGTGAGCCGTTTTGATTGAATAATAAAGTACAATAATAAAGCATATAAAGTATAATAAAGTATAAGATCTTTGTTGAGATGAAATCTGTAATGTATGTGAGTGAAAGTCTTGTTTTTTAGACGGATTTAAATAAACATGTTTACAATTAGTTTGAAAAGAAGTTTCTTCCAGGCATCTACAAGTCTACCGCCCCCCCCCCCCCGAACGAAATGAAAATTATATAGAAAATAAATACTTTTAACAGTGTCCCCCGTCCCCCCAAAGAAAGTCTACAGCCCCTCCCCCCTGAAAATTTCAAGTGCCCCCCCCCCCCGGAGAAAAAAGTCTGGAAGAAACACTGGTTTGAAAAAAAAAACTTTATCTCGCAAGTACCAAAACAAGAATTACGTGACCTACTTAAAGCCCTATAGCCTATGTAGAGCAACTTCTTCCCACCAATTGACCTGCTATCTGTTTTAACACTTCGCTAACGACCTTGACCTTTTCTCCAGGCACACCTGGGACGAGCCTGGTGGCATGGTCACCATTGACCTACTTTCCAAGAGACACAAGTAAAAATAGCTGTCACAATTGACCTACTTTCCAAGACGCTCTAATACAAAGAGCCATCTCGGTTGACCTACTTTTAAACAGGCTAACCACAGATGGACCTGAGCTGACCTATTTTCAAAAGAAACGCTGCTACAGTTGTCTGCGACCGGTTGGCATACTTTCAGTTGATCTACTAAAATAGCACCAGTGAATACCCAATGCTTAGAACAATATGACATCAGCTTCAGCAGCTTTCGAATAGGTCTTGTAAGTAGGTCACAACTTCTCGTTCTCGTACTATGCAGCTAGTAGATTTCGAGACCGTAGACTTACAAGCCCTATTGCAGCCAGTCGATTGATACAGAAAGACCAAGAGAGGGGTGGATGCAGGCAGGCATTGCCACAGTAAGATGACGGTACAAACAATCGTCACTGTACCGAGCAGAGGCGTAGCGACCCTACCCGGCGCCCGGGGACAAACTTTTCGATTTGCACCCCCCCTCAAGATTTCGATTTGCACTCCCCCCCCCCCCCTCAAACTTTCGATTTGCACCACCCTCAACCTTTCAATTTATTTTTCCAACCAATTTTGGCGCCCCTAAGGTTGGCGCTCTGGGACATATGTCCCCCCCCCCCCCCGCCCCCCCCCCCCCCCTCGCTACGCTAGTGGTACCGAAACGGTGCCAGACAGGAAGTGACTCCATCATTTCTCAAGATGCAGGTTCGACTCCTGGTGACGGCATGTCAAGTTTACAAATTTCCATAAACTGTACATGCCTAATTAAAGTGTCCATGATAAATTAAAGTGTACCTGACAAATTAAAGTGAACATGGAAAATTATAGTGTACCTGATAAATTAAAGTGTACATGCCTAATTAACGTGTAAATGGCAAATTAAAGTGTACCTGATAAATTAAAGTATACCTGACAAATTAAAGAGTACATGGAACATTCAAGTGTACATGATGACAAATTAAAGTGTACTTGATGAAAAACGTGTACATTAAGACAAATTGATGTTTATCAGGCAAATTAAAGTGTACCTGATAAACTAAAATGTACATTGCAAATTAAAGTGTACAAAAAAAGCTTACCTGACAAATAAAGATATGACTTACAAATTAAAGTGATCGTAACATTAATGTGTGCTTGGCAGAATGAAGTTTTCCTGACACTTTGCATGTAAAACATAAAAAAGAAACCAGTGAATAAAACAATATGCTTTATAATATGTTTCATGCAATTTAATGTATTAATAAGCTGATAATTTTTTGGATTAGTTGTAATCTCAAGACATTAGATAAGAAAAAGATGGATTTGGACTCGCTGAATGTCAGTTTAAAATTTATCAACTCTATGGTTAAACCAGCATTTGATAACAATATGACCTGCTAAGTTGCAGCTGATAGTGTAAACTTGTCTTAAATAGGGTGGTCAAAACTGTGTACCTCACTCGGAATAATTAACAGTGTAGTGAAATAAGAAATTCCTCTTTAACTAATTCACAAGCGGAGTTTAGAAAAAATCGGAAATAGCTGTGAGTTTCGAATAAAAAAATATTCTATGTAGATAACGGTCAAAGGGAAGTAACTGTGTAAATATTTTTACGCTTAAAAGGGTGTTATAAGTTACCCCCCTTTTTGGGAGAGTAATTCCTAGTTGTGATTATCTTTTTATTATTGTATTACTTATAAATGTAAAACATAAAATATAACATGGAAAAAGAAAATGGCGTATTAACTTATATTTGAATGCGCTTAACCACACAATGTGGCTGATTAAAGGCTTATGTCAAACTCCTAAAAAGTCGCACACATTTCCAAATAAGTCACACGAACCCCCAATAAAAATTAAATCATGTCCCTAAAAAATTCCTACTCTGAACAAATTATGTTAACCCAAGCCCAATACAGTCTCACCAAGCTTGAAACAAATTAAGCAAGCGACAAATAAAGTTAAACCAAGCCGCTGTAAAGTTAAACCATGCTGCTATAAAGTTCAACCATACGGCTATAAAGTTAAACCATGCTGCTATAAAGTTAAACCATACTGCTATAAAGTTAAACCATGCTGCTATAAAGTTAAACCATGCTGCTATAAAGTTAAACCATACTGCTATAAAGTTAAACCATGCTGCTATAAAGTTAAACCATACTACTATAAAGTTAAACCATGCTGCTATAAAGTTATCCCATGTTCCCAATACATTAACAACCCATAATTACCCATAATTTGTAGATATTGTCACTATTGTTTAGCTATACAAACTATACTAGAAACAGATATGTATCGAATATCTTGATTTCAAAATTAAATATTTCGTCAGATACATACAGAAACACATCAATAGCTTTATAAAGCTGTTCAATGTTAAAACGTGTATACATTTTAAAGACTTTGTGGTCGAGTCGGTAAAGCTCATGGTTGCTAAACCGAAAAGTCTAGAGTTCGAACCCTCGGGCAGATGAGGCTCGTTAGCTGGGGACAGCCACTCCTCTCTAGGAGAGACAACTCCAAAATTAAGCAACTGCTGCCTTGTAGTTTGTTCTTGTTTGGACAAAGGCTATGAAAGCAAATCCAAAAAGAAAAGCAGACTGAAATCGGAGTCAATGGCCTCAATGGCGCATAACCAGTTGACACGTAACGCTTAATTGTGTTGGAGGCGTGGTCGAGTCGGCAAAAAGCTCATGGTTGATAAATTCGAACAGTCTCGAGTTCAAACCCACTGGCAGATAAATCTCGATCCCCTTCAACACTATTAATTAAGAACGAAGAAGATAAAGACATTTTAAATTTTTAATGTGTTATTACATATGGTAGTCGCCATTTCTAGAACGAGAATATTAAATGCAGAACCTAATAATATAATTATATCTTTGAATTAGAATGGAGATAACAATTTACTAACTTAGGTTAACTTACTAACAGAAGCCATCGAACACAATTATTATTACTCAATCCATTACGAAACTTGATAATTTAAAAATAAACAGCCTGTTTGTTTAATATAATATAGAAGTCAAGAAAATAAAAAAAATACGTTGTGGTATAAATAATGATGTATTACAAATACGAAAGTTTCTGAATTTCTCTACTGTATAAAACTCAAGTAAATGAATTTGGATTTCGGCATTGCCTCTCCAACCAATCTTTGATATCGTAGACTTTCGGCTTGAGACGTGCGTTCCTCAATTTGTTGCAGACGGTGCAGTAAACATTTGGCCTGTTCACCAGTCGATATTGATCTTTCGCTCTCAGCATCTCGCTGTAGCGTTCAACATCGGTGCTCATACTCTTCAAATACAACGCCAAGTCCTTAGCTGTGTTGAATTTATTGGCATCAACATAAGTACCTTCGGGAATGTTCCTAGCATAATCAGCCCCACCTCGAGTTACCGGGATCACGTTGATGTTCGGTAAAAAAACTCGGAATAATTTTTCCGTGATGTAGTCTTTGCATATGGAGTTTTCAAAAGACAGATAGAATTTGTATGTGTTGAACTGGAGCGTTAGACAGTGGGCGCTTGCGTTGGGCTGTCGGCATATGCTAGCGTTGCTGCATCGTCCGAAGACATCAACATCAACGTATTTCTAACGGGGAACAAAATTTAACTCATATTTCACATTTATTAAAAGCCAAAGTTATTCTTACTTAATATGCCTCAGTGGCGTAGCGAGGAGGGGGGGGGGTGCGGATCGCACCGGGTGACACCATTTGGGGGGGGGGGGGTGACACCAAGCAAAAAATAGCAAAATATATAGAGAAAAAGGATAATTCCACTTAAGTAAGTGATTAATTCGAGTGTTAAAAAGTCGTTTCAGAGTAAATTTGACAAATCCCGACAAGGGTGGAAGGGGGGTGCAAATCGAAAGTTTGAGGGGGGGGGGGAGGGTGCAAATCGAAAATTGAAAGTTTGTCCCCGGGCGCCTGGAAGGGTCGATACGCCTCTGGGGGGGGGGGGGGACACCATTAAGTGCTGCACCGACCTCGCTACGCCACTGATATGCCTATATGTAAGACTTGTAGAAAAAAGAAGTTTTAATCCTAAATTGTGATTAAAAAGTATTTAGGTTGACTCTAACCTTCATTTCTATAACGTAATCTTCTCGTTTAGATTGGGTTTTACAATGACTGACCAGCCACAGAACTGTCTTGGTTTTTTGTTTCGCCAACTCAACTAAACATTATAAAATTTAGAAATAAAATTTAAAGCACAGGTGGTAATGAGATAAAATAAAAAGTTGCAATTGTGTAGAATGTAGAAGAAAGAGACACAAAAAAAATTGGTTTTTATAAATATCGTTTTTATAAAAATAGAAAATATAACTTATTTGTAATGATAAAAAAAGCGAAAGTTAAACCATTTGATACTAATTTTTTATTGTAAGATAGTTTAAATATATTTTTAAAAAATTAGGTTAGAACTCAGTGTAATATAATTTAACTTTATTGAATCGTTTACTGGTTGAAAAAAAATTAATAGATTTTATGACACTAACCCTAAATCTGAGCCAGGAAGCGAATACTTACGGTAATTTATCTTTTCCCCACTTTGAACTTTCTTCACATAGTGGTAGGGCAAAAATATATCGGCGTCCACTGTGTAGTGGGCTGTGAAGTTGAAGTCAAATCTCCAGGCAGACTTGGCTGTGGATGAAATATTTGGACGTTGTTGTATATCCACCAGAGGCGTAGCAACCCCTCCCGGCGCCCGGGGACAAACTTACAATTTGGCGCCCCCCCCCCCCCTCATATATTTTAATTTTTTTTTTAATTTTTATATTTATAATTCAAAACAGCAGTTAAAATGAGCTTATTTTGGCGCCCCTAGGGTCGGCGCCCGGGGATATATGTAACCCCCCGCCCCCCCTCTGATATCCGCCGATGTTGGGCCATGTAGTCACATATACGGCTATACGTTGTCTACAGTAAACTGGATGAATTAAATGTTTTGATTTTTTATTGATTAATCAAGTAAATCACTGATTTCTTTTTCGTTACTTAAAAATAACAACTCAGTTTAATTCAGGCAGTTAAGTTAGTAAATGAGATAAGCTAATTATTCGTCTTTTTACACAAAGGAAATATGTGTGTAGTCTACATATCCGATTAAAGGCAAACCAAAGCGATTGGATTTAAAAATAGTACAATAAAAATGTCCACGAGGGGATGGTACTATGTGTAAAAATGGGAGTGTTTATGGTACACTATATTGACAGGTGCAATGTGAAGGAGGGTGGGGTATTCATGGTGCATTATACTGGCTGGTGCATGATGAACGAGAATGTGCAGTTGGGTGGGATATTCATGGTGTATTATATTGGTCTGTTTAATGTGCAGTAGGGTGATATTCATGATACACTATAATGGTTGGTGAAATGTGCTGTTGGGTGATATATTCACAGTGCCGGCGCCAGGTTATTTAGCGCTCTACGCAAAACTGCTTAAAAAGCCCCCTTTCACACAAATTAATTACTAAAACATATGTGTAAGAAAACAATTAATTAAAAGTGACGTATTTATTTATTATCGATTGCATACACGTTATAAGTAGACATCAAAATAAAATTTTGCGTGCCTCCTTCGTCTCAAAAGTTTGTACTAATTCCTTCAATTCCAGTTTGCAAGCGTAATATCAGTTATTGAAATTGTTGTTAAGTCCACGAGTCTACTTTGTACTTTACGACATAGCCCCCCCCACCTCACCCCTTTGAATATTTTAAGTGCTTCCCACCCCCTTCCGGTAGAAAAAAATCTGGAAAAAAAAACACAAGAAAATAATTTTTTTCTTGTAGTGTTGGTCTCCCTGCAGTCCGCCCAAGGTGAGTTCCAAAACGGAACTTGCATGTTTTAAGCTTGACTGTCTTTAGTTATAATTGTAAAATGTCTATAGTGTGTGATTATATGTAACGATTTTTAGTTTTTTGAAAAATAAAATGTTATAAATGCTATTTATGAATCCTTTAGGAGAGGGTGAAAAATATAAAAAGACAATTAATTAGATGTTTAATTTACGACTAAGACTATATGTCAACTAACACTAACATTAAGAATCGCAATCTACATCGGCTACTGATGTATTTGTTTTTCAACTTGATAATGCTAATTTTGTTTAAAACTTAGGCTCTATATTATAATTTTTACTATAGCAAATAATAACTTTAAGTTGTGTTTGTATGTAAGCGGTCAACCTAAAGTGCAGAAATTTGAAATGAATGTAAAGTTAAGCATCGAATTATCTCCCATTTGAAAATCCAAGGGAAATAACTCACAAGAATAGCTAAATTAACCAAGTGTACCTAAGACATGCTTGAAAAACACAGTAAAACGCTTTAAATTTCATTACGTAATAAATATTATAAATCTTATTTATTAGCTGTGTATCCTTGTGAAAACAATATATTTTACCTATTGAATACTTAACTGTAGGTTTTGTTTGAAAGTCTAAAAGCAATAGCTTTATCATAACATACTTCTATTTAACTTTGAAAAACATATTTTCCATTGCATCTTCAAAAGTAGAAATTACTATTAAATTTTGGATCCCTTAAATAAAGGGACGCCTTTCGAAAAACTCAAACACGGGTAACTGTACTTTTAGACATTGTTAGAATGATTGATTAAATATAAAAAAAAAATATAATTTGAGAAAAAAGAAAGTTTACGGTTAGTTATAAATTCCATTCTATTTAATATTACATATTAATACTTTAAGAGTGGTAATATAGATTCTTAAAAAAACTAAAAACTTTTCAACTGGAGAACGCCCACCTTTCTTTGTAGTGTGTTCGGTACTGAATTGAAATTTTCCAATTTACGATAAACTGGACAACACATTCACAACACATACCAAACTTCGATACCTAAACATAACTAGACTCGATGCTCCAGAACTACGACACCAACTCGTTCAACTTCACCAAGCTCTACAAACGATACTCACAATCAACTACGATTTCACTAGACTACACTACAATACAATTCGATACCTTAATACCACAAGAATCAATACTCCCGAACTTCAGAACTACGATACTTCATCACCTGCATTCTCATTCCTCTATTACCAATCATATTCCACTAGACATTCATCTACAAAAAAGCATAATAACAATTATGACGTTCGAAACTTTATACCTACGAAACCATATCAGCAAAAGTCATTCGCCGTTACTCCCAAATCTAAACGATTCATCAAAACTTACCAAACAAGTACAATACTTTGAACACCCCGTCATTACAAAACTCTATACACCAGGACATATTTCTAATTCAAAGTCAGTGAAAACGAGATTTACCAGCCCTATTAAAATTAGATAATCGTTTGAAATGTTCGAATTTAAAATTACGAACTTATTTAATCTTTTCTACATCAATTATGACAAAGTGACTGGTAAAAAGCGCCCCGACCTTTCCAAATTTTGCAGGTGGGGTAGCATTTCCATCATCGTGAATAAATATAGGCCTATAAAGACCTAATTTTGGGGTGGGGGTGCAAAATTGATAGTTCGTACTAGGTGCCGAAATAGATCGCTACTCCTTTATAAAAGTTATTGATTTTTAGGTACTTTTTGATAATAGAGATTAAACCTTTTGCGCCCCCCTAAGGATGGCGCCGGCCCTGTATAATCATGAAACACTATAATGGTTGGTGAAATGTGCTGTTGGGTGATATATTCATGATACACTATATTGGTTGGTGCACTATATTGTTGTTGTAATGTGCATTGGGTCGGATATTCATCTGCACTATATTGTCTAATACAATATGCAGTAGGGTGGGGTATTCATGGTGCACTATATTGGCTGGTGCAATGTGCAGTTGGATGATGTTTATGGTGCACTATTTTGGCAGGTGCAACGCCCAGTAGTCTGGAATGTTTATTGCGCATTATACTGGATGGTGCACGGGGCACTAGAATGTCCACTGGTGTGGTATGTAACTACATGTAATAACAACTAAAACTAAAAAAATTATTTAAAAAATCATCCCTCACCATCCCAGAGACAACTGGGCAAGTTCTTGGGCGGCTCTGTATCCATCAAGACGTACAACTGACCCGGCCACCTGCGTGACGGCCTCTGCCACTCCTTCAGGTGGAAGCCCATGACGACAACAACATCGGTGTTTTCCGTAACGTTGTCCTGATCAAACACACACGCCGTGTCGGAGCACTTCGGGACATCTTTCAAGTACGGCAACAGCCAGTTTACCGGGTTTATCAAATGAATGGATAAGGGTAATCCGGATTTTTGTTTAGATTTTAGTTTATAGTATGGATCATCAGTGCTAATTAATGTTTTGTTTGTAACGTTATAATTTGTTGCTAAAATAAGCGAATATGTTATATCAGTTACTACGTGAGTGTATTTGGGTTTTAGTTTATAGTATAAATCATCAGTGGCAATCAATGTTTCGGTGGTAGCATTATAATTTGTTGCTAAAATATGCGAATATGTTATGTCAGTTACTGCGTGAGTGTATTTGTTACTGTCTATTTTTATATTTATGTTTATATTTGACGATGTTGAGTAATTTGTATAATTAAAATCTAGAATTGTGTCTACAAAAATAAATTGTATTTGGTTAAATATAGAGTAGTTCATGTACTTATAAAAAACGACTAAAACAGTTATAATAGTTAGGATTGACAGTGCTTTTTTGTACTTCGACATTTTGTTGATCAATAAAGTGATAGATTAGATTTGAAATATTCGACAGTATCTGAAGAAGATATCTAGACTCAGGGATTAAACAATTACACAATTACTAGTTAGTTCTAATAATATAATAGTATAACTTTACTTCCATGTTACTTTATGCCCTTATATTTAAATAAAATAATTGCTCCTATATACACACGCACAACACGTACGCACACACACACACACACACATACAAACACGCACACAGACACGCGCACTAACTAACTAACTAACTAAACAAACAAACAAACAAACAAGCAAACAAACAAATAAACAAATAAATAAATATATATATATATACATATATATATATATATATATATATATATATATATATATATATATATATATATATATATATATATATATATATATATATATATATATATATATATATTCAAATATACATATGTGTACGTATGTATGCATTTTAAAAAAAAAACTCAATGTGAAAATACAGTTTCA